CCCAGTCCCCGATGAATCAGAAGATTAAGGTTGGGGTACAGAGGCCAGGCTGGGAGTTCTGGGCTGGAGCCTGAGAATAAGGCATGATGGTATCACCTTGTGGGCACCAGGACAGAAGACCCAGGAACTGCCCTGGCCATGGCTGAGAGGCAGGAGCCAGGAGGGGCCTTAGCTCCCCTGCATCCCAACAGCATCTCAGAGAGGTGCAGGGAGAGACACTTGATGGGAACTTGAACTTCAATCTTGGTGCGTCGAGTTAAGGAGGAAGGGAGTTTCTGTAGACCGGAGACTAAATTAGCTTTGAGGAGCATGTTCATGGTGTTTTTTCCTCTTTCTTTTGCCATTAGCAAGAGTGGGGACTTGCAAGTTCAAGGGTTCTAGACCATTTTTAGTTCTATTTTTGTGCACATCTACCTGTATACAGCATAGAGATTTTTTACCCTGGTTGAGGCATGCACAGGGGGCTGGGATTACAGGCGTGACCCACCACGCCCAGCTGGTCCTGAATTCTTTTTGTTTCCTCCAATCCAACTTGCTTCCATGGAATACTAAGAATGGGAATTGCTGTGTTCCTAAGGCACTATAAGCTGAAACTAAATGCTTTTTTTTTTTTTTTTGAGATGGAGTTTCGCTCTTGTTACCCAGATGGGAGTGCAATGGCACGATCTCGGCTCACCACAACCTCTGCCTCCTGGGTTCAAGCAATTCTCCTGCCTCAGCCTCCCGAGTAGCTGGGACTACAGGCGCGCGCCACCATGCCCAGCTAATTTTTGTATTTTTAGTAGAGACGGGGTTTCACCATGTTGACCAGGATGGTCTCGATCTCTTGACCTCGTGATCCACCCGCCTCAGCCTTGCAAAGTGCTGGGATTACAGGCATGAGCTACTGTGCCCGGCCCTAACTAAATACATTTTAAGGGGTGAGTCTTGTGTGTGATATAAGGGCCACACAGAAAGCTCTAGAGTGCCCAATGCCATGCCCAGAGACTTTCTAACTGCAAACCAGGACAAGAAGTTGATAGCTCCATGCTGTGGGTGGCTTTTCCCAAGACAAAACAAGAGACCCCATCATGAGACTCTTGTCCCTCTTCTGCTAACTTGACAGACCTGACCTAAGAGATCCTGTAGTCCACCTACTGGGTAACGGGCAGCATCCCTTACAGAACTGTTGCTGACTTTGCTCTACTTCATCCCAGTCATGGGACACTAGATGATGAATTCACTCTGTGTTATCTGTTGGCTGGATGAGAAACTGTGCTATTGCTAATACCACATGCCGTACCTGGATAAAGTTCAGGCCGGGAAGTTGAGACCCAAATACACAAAATAAGAAACAAGCCACTTGGTCCCAACAGGTGTCTTCTAGTGCTCCATGGTCATTCGATTTATTCAGTGCATTCCCTTTAAGTCTAGGTTCATAGCTCAAAACCACTAAGCAAACTAGGGTTATCGAATTACCATTTTATTTATTTATCTATTTATTTATTTTCGAGACAGAGTCATGCTCTCTTGCCCAGGCTGGAGTGCAGTGGCACGATCTCGGCCCACCACAACCTCTGCCTCCTGGGTTCAAGTGACTCTCCTGCCTCAGCCTCCCAGGTAGCTGGGATTATAGGGATGTGCCACCATGCCCTGCTAATTTTTGTATTTTTTCTGCATAGGGTTTCTCCATGTTGGCCAAGCTGGTCTCAAACTCCTGGCCTCAAGTGATTCACCCACCTTGGCCTCCCAGAGTGCTGGGATTACAGGCATGAGCCACCACACCCAGCCTAATTTTATTTTGTAGTTTTTTTTTTAGAAGAAGTGTCACTCTGTTGCCTAAGCTGGAGTGCAATGGCATGATCTCGACTCACTGCAACCTCCTCTTCCCAGGTTCAAGGGATTCTTCTGCCACAGTCTCCCAAGTAGCTGGGACTACAGGCACGCACCACACACAAGGCTAACTTTTGTATTTTTAGTAGAGACAGGGTTTCACTATGTTGGCCAGGCTGGTCTTGAACTCCTGACCTTGTGATCTGCCTGTCTCAGCTTCCCAAAGTGCTGGAATTACAAGTGTGAGCCACTGCACCTGGCCTCTGTAATTTTCTTTCTAAACTTTGTACCTGTCAGATTTCTGCAGAAGTGTAACTCCTAACAAAATAATGCTGACCAATGCTTTGAGACGAGATCCCAAAAAATAGAGAACAAACAGAAATGAGCAGAACAATGGACTCCAGGTAGATCTAGCCTGAGAGCCACCCCCTCCCAACCTCCCTTATCATTCAAATGTGGCTAAAAGGGTTTTGACATTGACTAATAGTTGCCAATGACTCCCTCTAACCTGGGACCAGACCAGCCTAGGACTGGTTCATCCCAACACCAAGTGACATCAAAACCCAACCACAGAATGATCGACCAGCATCGTTTTTGGAGAAAGATCTTGATCAAAAGGGGAAATGGAAACAGCATCAAAATAAAAATGGAGTCAGTTATGTTAAAACCCTGACAAATGGAGCCCGGGATGAACGTGAGGCTTTCATGCGTGGATGCGTGATAACAAGAACTGTCACACAAGTCTCTGTAAAGCTGCAGTTTTACACAAAGGCCCCCATAATCTTACACGGAAAAGCACTTCTATGAAGGCACCTGCCCAGCAACTGCCTGTCCCATACTGGACTGAAACTGTCCTTGTGATTGATCCTTGAAGCCAAGGATAATTGTCTCAAAATAACTCGTGAAACCCTCCTAAGGTTTCCTTTAACTCTTGTCTTCCCTCACCTCCCTCGATATATCACACCTATTCCCACTGCAATGACCATTCCCAGCTAAATATCATTTTCCTTTAGAGAGTCTCTATCTGCTATTTAGGTTCAACAATAGTATCTCCAAGACCCTTTCTGTCAGATATTTCGGAGTCTCCAGGAACATTTCATTCATTCTTATTTTATTTATTTATTTATTTTGAGACAAGAGTCTTGCTCTGTTGCCCAGGCTGGAGTGCAGTGGCATGATCTCAGCTCACTGCAACCTCTGCCACCCTGGTTCATGTGATTCTCCTGCCTCAGCCTCCCAAGTAGCTTGGACTACAGGTGTGCACCACCACACTTTGTTAATTTTTTTGTTTAGTAGAGACGGGGTTTCACCATGTTGGCCAGGCTGGTCTTGAACTCCTGACCTAAGTTGATCCACCCTCCTCAGTCTCCCAAAGTTATGGGATTACAGGCATGAGCCACTGCACCTGGCTGACAACCTCGATTTCCTGAGTCTACCAACAAGGTCCTTGGGGGTCCTAGGAGCGCTCAGAGGCTTCCCTGCCTCTGGCCTCTTGCCCTCGGGTTTGGTTCCTCCCACATCATCTTTTTTTTTTTTTTTTTTTGAGAATGGGGTCTCCCTGTATTGCCTAGGCAGGTCTTGAACTCCTGGGCTCAAGCTATCCTCCAGCCTCTGCCTCCTTAAGAGCTGGGATGACAGGCGAGAGCCACAGCGCCTAGCCTCCTCCCACATTATCCAAGGCAATCCTTAAAAAACTCTTAGACCTAGAAGGAGGGTATTCATGCTTCCAGCACAAAGACATGACAGAGATGATGGACAAGATGGGTATGCTAATGATCTTGATCTGATCACTACACCTTGTATGAATCAAAACATCGCTGTGTGTTCCACAAATATGTACAATTATGTGCCAATTAAAAAATAAGATAAAATAATATTCTGATTTTTTTTTTGAGACAGTGTCTTGCTCTGTTGCCAGGCTGGAGTGCAGTGATACGATCTCGGCTCACTGCAACCTCCACGTGCTGTAGCCTCTCCAGATCCACCCTGCTCCTAAACACACCTGGGGCGTTTGCACGTGGCACTCCTGCTGCCTGAGAAGCTCTTCTGCCACTCGATGTGGTTGGTCCTTATCTTACAGATCTTCCTTTCAATACCAGCTACTCAGAGAAGCCCTCCCTGACCACCCTGATTAAAGTAGCATCCTCACTGTGGAAGCAGGACGATGCCTCCCACAAGATGTCCGTGTCCTAATCCCTGGAACCGTCGAATATATTATGTTATGTGGCAAGGGGGAATGAAGGTCAAAGATGAAGTATGCTAATTAGCCAATTTTTTATTTTATTTGTGATGGAGTCTCACTCTGTCACCCAGGCTGGAGTGCAGTGGCGCGATCTTGGCTCATTGCAACCTCTGCCTCCAGGTTCAAGCAATTCTCCTGCCTCAGCCTCCTGAGTAGCTGGCATTACAGGTGTCTGCCACCACACCTGACTAATTTCTATATTTTTCTGTCTCAAACTCCTGGGCTCAAGAGATCCACCCTCCTCAGACTCCCAAAGTGCTGGGATTACAGGCATGAACCACCATGCCTGGCCTTGATCTTTATGCCAACGAATTGGCGTACACACAAGCTCATGCTGTGCAATGGTATTTCACACTGTGTGGTGCTTTGATTTGAACGCCCTAAAACTTAATCGCCCACCAGCAAACCTCACTGCTGTGGCCTTTGGCCCTACTCAAGGAGCCCAAGGAGGCCACTGGCCATTTGGAAAAGGAGGTAGTTGGGGCCCTGAGAGTTTACACAGTTTCCTCAAGGCCACAGCGCGTGTGTGAGGAAGATGACCAGCCTGCCTCCACTTCTCTTTCCAATCTACCACCTTGCCCGAGCTAAGCTCAAGCTCAGGGCCACCTACGTCTTGGAAGGGCTTCCTTCTCCAGCGGATCTTGTGGGATGAGGGCTGTCCTACACATTATGCTTGTAATAGCCAATGACCCCAAGCTCCCGTTAGCTCAAGTCCTAGAAAATATGCCGGCTACACAGCGCTACGCAGGGTGTAGCCACAGGGATGCAGGATGTTAGTGCCCTTGGGATGGGAAGGAGAGATTAGGGGGAGAAATGCCCACACCCCTTCAAACACTCTACCGTCTTTACCTCTGAGGTCAGCGTTAGTCTGTTCCTATCTTCTACACTTGCAAATGAACTTGCATAGCAATAAATCTCTGCACACTCAAAGCCATGATTTCCTCAGCAGGTGGATGCAGAATGCTGGGAGACCTATAATAATCAGCCTTTTGCAACAAGCACTTTTTCTTCCTATTCATTATTGCCGCGTTTTAAGAGGAGAAGGGAGCGACTGCTCTTACAGGGCTACAGAGACATGGAGACACGCTGGGGGAGGCTGCTCTGTCACCAGGTAAGACAATGGAATTCATTTAAAATGTCTTATTTTCCCTTGCTCTGCCAAGCAAAAGCAGCAGAACCCTTTGGGGAATTCACTTTACAAGGAAAGAAAATGAGGCCCCGCACCTGCATCCTGGCTCCCCCCCCACCCCCCGCCGGCAAGTGTGCCCCTTCCTCTCAGCTCCCCGGCTCTGCAGGGGCCGGGTGGGCGGCACCCGCTCCCAGCGGTGACATTGTTGGGACCTGCTCACAAAACACAGTTGTTCTCTGAGATGGCTCATTTCCCTTTCTGTTTTTTTTTTCTTTCTTTCTTTTATTCTTCTTTATCTTCTTCTGGAGACTGTCTTGCTCAGTAGCCCAGGCTGGGGTGCAATGGAGGCTCGCTGCAACCTCCACCTCACGGGTTCAAGCAATTCTCATGCCTCAGTCTCCCAAGTAGCTGGGATGACAGGTGTGCACCACCACATTGGGTGATTTGTGTATTTATTTATTTTTTTTTTTGAGACGGAGTTTCGCTCTTGTTACCCAGGCTGGAGTGCAATGGCACAATCTCGGCTCACCACAACCTCCGCCTTCTGGGTTCAAGCAATTCTCCTGCTTCAGCCTCCCGAGTAGCTGGGACTACAGGCGCACACCACCATGCCCAGCTAATTTTTGTATTTTTAGTAGAGACAGGGTTTCACGTTGTTGACCAGGAAGGTCTCGATCTCTTGACCTCGTGATCCACCTGCCTCGGCCTCCCAAAGTGCTGGGATTATAGGCGTGAGCCACCGCGCCCGGCCTGATTTGTGTATTTTTAGTAGAGGCGGTGTTTCACCACGTTGGCCAGGCTGGTCTCGAACTCCTGACCTTAGTTAATCCGTCTGCCTCAGCCTCCCAAAGTGAATTAAGACCGAGATTCTCACCAAGGCTAACTGAGCTTCTCACTACCAGTTGCAAAATATTTGCTCAGCACCTTTGAAAGAAAACGATTAAGCCCACTCAGGCCATGCACAGTATACAGCCTATACAAGGCATCTGTGGGTTTTAAAGTTTTTTAAATATTCACACGCACAAGAAACGTTTTCCAGAATCCTTATGCCTAATAATTGTGTAATCACAGAAAATGTGGACCAACTCTCAACAATTTAAAATTATTACCTTCAAGGGCAGGGTGCCGTGGCCTGTAGTCCCAGCACTTTGGGAGGCCCAGGTGGGTGGATCACTTGAGGTCAGGAGTTTGAAACCAGCCTGGTCAACAGAGTGAAATCCCGTCTCTACTAAAAATGCAAAAATTAGCCGGGCGTGGTTGCGTGTGCCTGTAATCCCAGTTACTCAGGAGGCTGAGGCAGGAGAATAACTTGAACCCAGGAGATGGAAGTTGCAGTGAGCCACGATTGCGACACTGCCCTCCAGCCTGGGTGACAGAGTGAGACTCTGTCCCAAAATAAATAAATAAATAAAATTATTACCTGGGCACGGTGGCTCATGCCTGTAATCCCAAAACTTTGGGAGGCCAAGTGGGTGAATCACGAAGTTAGGAGTTCGAGACCAGCCTGGCCAACATGATGAAGCCCCATCGCTACTAAAAATACAAAAATTAGCTGGGCATGGTGGTACACACCTGTAGTACCAGCTATAGGGGAGGCTGAGGCAGGAAAATCACTGGAACCAGGGAGGCAAAGGTTGCAGTGAGCTGGGATTGTGCCACTGCACTCCAGCCTGGGTGACAGAGCAAGACTCTGTCTTTTTTTAAAAAAAATTCTCTTCCTCCAAAGTTTAAAAATCATATAAATGTACCTTCCTCTCAATTTTGCTGTAAACCTAAAACTCCCCCAAAATAGTCTTTTTTAAAAAATTAAGAATACAATAGCATGGTCTAAAGTAAAAATGTATAGGTTGCAGACAAGAGACACCTGGCAAATCATTTCATATCTGGAGGCCTTCATTTCTTGCTCCACAAGGTTAAGAGTTCAACGCACACTGGGCTCTGTGATCTAACCTTTCACCAGTGCATTCTGTTCAAACCTTGGGCCTCACTTCATAAAAGTCCATTAAATGACTCTCCCTTTCTGTTTAGACTTGGCCTCACACCATGGGCCTCATGGGCAGGTGCACTGCTGCTCCACTGGTGCTCAACACAGTTTTGCTAAATGAAGCGATGGCCCTAGAAAACAGACAAGCTGGGCACAGTGGCATGGGCCTATAGTCCCAGCTACTTGGGAGGCTCAGGTGGGGGGTCACTCGACACCGGGAGTCCAAGGCTGCAGTGCGCTGGGATCGTGCCTGTGAATAGCCATTGCACTCCAGCCTAGGCAGTGTAGCAAGACCCTGTCTCTAAAATTAAAGAAAAAAGTAATAATAAACATACAAATGACTTTGGCTGGGCACAGTGGCTGACGCCTGGAATCCCAGCATTTTGGGAGGCTGAGGTTCCTGACCAACACAGTGAAATCCCGTCTGTACTGAAAATACAAAAATTACCCAGGCATAGTGGTGCAGGCCTGTAATCCCAGCTACTCAGGAGACTGAGGCAGGAGAGTCACTTGAACCCGGGAGGCAAAGGCTGCAGTGAGCCAAGATTGCACCATTGCACTCCAGACTGGTCAACAAGAGCCAAACTCCATCTCACACACAGAAAAAAAGACTTTGATAGCCAGTGTGGTGGTGTGAAGAAAGATGGAAAGATGGCAGCTACTGAGAGTGGGAACTGAAAGCTTCTAACCCTGCCACAAGGCGTGAATAGTGCCATCGATAGGCATTCGTCCTGAACACGTATCTACCTGTTATGCCTAGTTAATTTTTTTTTTTGTTTTGAGACAGAGTCTCTCTCTGTCTCTAGGCTGGAGTGGAGTGGTGCAATTTCAGCTCACTGCAACCTCCACCTCTGGGGTTCCAGCAATTCTCCTGCCTCAGCCTCCCGAGTGGCTGGGATTACAGGCACTCACGACCACACCCAGCTAATTTTTTGTATTTTTAATAGAGACGAGGTTTCACCATGTTGGCCAGGTTGGTCTCTATCTCTTGACCTTGTGATCTGCCCGCCTCGGCCTCCCAAAGTGCTGGGATTACAGGCGTAAGCCAAGGTGCCCAGCTTTCCTATCTTTTATTTACTCATTAATATATTTGTAATATCCTATTTGGAGCTGAGGCAGTTTTCCAGGAGCAAAGGAGAGAGGAAAACGCCTATCCTGCTGTCCACGTACGTGCCTCTACTGACACCTAGGCTTGTTGTGAAACCAGCACCCCGGGTCCAACCTTGGCTGGCTGCAGGGATTGTAAAGGACACACTTGCCCTGGTGCCTAAGGAAGGCACGTGAGGAGCTGTCTTTAATAGGAAAACGAGGTCCACCAGCCGCTGAGCAAGTCTTCAGTAAAAGTTCACTCCCCATTGCTTCTGGTCTGTGTCGGATTTTGTAGGTACCTTTTGGGAGAAGAACATACTAACAGCCTCCATTTGTCCTTTCCAAAGCTGTGTGGTGGGAAAAGAATTAATATGTTGAAAGCAGAGTCACAAACCCTCCATGGGGACAGCAGTAAGGGAGCAGGATGTTTAGGATCAAACAAGATGCCTTCAACCTTCCTTCTAAAACTTTATATGGATAAGCACTATTTAAAAAAATGACAATAACAGGCCGGGCTCGGTGGCTTACGCCTGTAATCCCACCACTGTGGGAGGCTGAGGCAGGAGGATCACCGAAGGTCAGGAGTTCAAAACAAGCCTGGCCAACATGGCAAAACCCCAGTCTCCACTGAAAATACAAAAATTAGTCAGGCGTGATGGCGCATGCCTGTGAGGAAGGAGAATCATTTGAACCTGGGAGGCAAGGTTACTGTGAGCTGAGATTACACCACTGCACTCCAGCCTGGGTGACACAGCGAGATTCTGTTTCAAAAAAATAAAATAATAATAATATAACAGGACCAGGCATGGTGGCTCACACTTGCAATCCCAGCACTTTAAAAGGCCAAGATGGGCAGATCACCTGAGGTCAGGAGTTCAAGACCAGCCAGGCCAACATGGTGAAACCCTGTCTCTACTAAAAATACAAAAATTAGCTGAGCATGGTGGTGGGTGCCTGTAGTCCCAGCTACTCAGGAGGCTGAGGCAGGAGAATTGCTTGAACCCGGGAGGCGGAGATTGCAGTGAGCTGAGATTGTGCCACTGCACTCTAGCCTGGGCAACAGGCTTTTTACATCCCAAAAAGTAAAAAATAAAAATAACAGGCCAGGTGTGGTGACTCATGTCAGTAATCCCGGCACTTTGGAAGACCAAGGGGGGAGGATTGCTTGACGGCAGGAGTTCAAGACCTAGCCTAGGCAACATAGCAAGACCCCATCTCTACAAAAATAAATAATAATACCAGCTGCAAGATTGGTCTGGGCCATCTAGAAGGGGCCCTAAAGTAGGATGCTACCGCCTTGCAACGAATTACTCATACAAAGACTCGCATCCCAGCAGTGTGCATTCTCTGGCTGGCAGCCAGTGTCCCAGCTGGGCACCAGTCCTGGTGTCAGTGGGTCTTATTCCTCCACACAGCTGAAAGGCCCCAGCCCGTCCTGCCTGCTGTCCTCCTGATGCTCGGGCTGTGGTGGGCCTGGTGCTCACCCATGCCGCCATCTCAGTGGACGGAGCTAGTCTGTTGTTTTTACAATCCTTTCCAGAGGCCTCCCCATGAAGTATGAGAAAGCTCTTCAGCCGGAAGCAGCTGATCTGAAGGAAATCAGAGGCTGATGGGGGGGACGGCGCTACACACTTGAGCTAATGCGCAGTCGTGGTGGCAGTGGCACGGATCACAGTAGGAGTCCCAATGTGTTGGACGCTGGGTGAAGGCCTGGGAGCGAGATGGGACTCATGCCCACCCCCAACCCACCTCCCCTGAGCACCTCTCTTCACCGTTTGTCCAAGGAAGCAGCAGCCCTAAACACGGGGATCTTTGCTCCATACCGAGGGCACCACGTCTCTCCCAGGCTCGCAGAACAGTGGACGCCCCTGGCCCCTGCCAGGGCCACAGCCATACAGTGACCGAGAAACATAGGCCACCTACCAAGAGGGGCTGGCGTGCTCACCTGCACAGGCCCGGTCCTTCCAAGGAGCCCAGGGAGGCTTTGCAGTGAAGTCAGCGGCAATGTCACTGACCGAACTTTTGAGAGTTGTCTTTGGGGCATAGGGTGCATGTTTTGCGGAGTTCTTTGCCTTGTCTTTAAACTTTATTAGAGTATCATTTCGGTGGCCGGGCGTGGTGGCTCATGCCTGGAATCCAGCACTTTGGGAGGCCGAGGCAGGAGGGTCCCTTGAGCCCAGGAGTTTGGACCAGCCTGCGTAACAGGAAAACGGGAAAATGATTTTGTTTTTCTGAGATGGAGTCTCACTATGTCACCCAAGTTGGAATGCAGTGGCAGGATCTTGGCTCACTGCAACCTCCACCTCCCTGGTTCAAGTAATTCCCCCGCCTCAGCCTGCCAAGTAGCTGGGATTATAGGCTTATGCCACCACGTCTGGCTATTTTTTTTTTTTTTTTTTTTGGATTTTTAGTAGAGACAGGGTTTCACCATGTTGGCCAGATTGATCTTGAACTCCTGACCTCAGGCAATCTGATTGCCTTGGCCTCCCAAAATCCTGGTATTTTAGGCGTGAGCCACCATACCCAGCCTCTACAAATAATTTGTAAAAATTAGCCAGGCATGTTGGCACATACTGTGGTCCCAGCTAGTGAGGAGGCTGAGGCAGGAGAATTGCCTGAGCCTGGGAGGTGGAGGCTGAAGTGAGCCATGACTGCCTTACTGTACTCCAGCCTGGGCAACAGAGCAAGAACATGTCTCAATAAATAAATAAACCTCTGCCTGTATGTCTCTCTCTATATATCCCATTGGTTCTGCTTCCCTGGAGGACTCTAATACAGATGCCATCACAGTGGAAGTGACTGTGCTTTCAGAGCAAAAATTAAGACAAGCAGTCTTAAAAACACAAGCATACTTTCCAGAATGAACAAAACAACGGCCATCCACCCATGCATCTCACATTTTAACCTGTGTGTAAATTACTTGAGTATCTTGTTAAAAAGCAGATTCTGGCTGAGTAGGTCTGGGATTCTGCATTGCAAACAAGCTTCCAGCTGAGACGGACGCTGATTGTGCATGACCACTGTGGGGATAGCTCAGTACCTGGAAATACACCGTGCTAAACAGTGGCAGTTAGCCACGTGTGGCCGTTAAGTTGTGAAATGTAGTTGGTCTGGCCGGGCACAGTGGCTTATGCTTGTACTCCCAGCACTTTGGGAGGCCGAGGGAGGTGGATCACCTGAGGTTGGGAGTTCAAGACCACCCTGACCAACATGGAGAAACCCCATCTCTACTGAAAATACAAAATTAGCAAGGCATGATGGCACATGCCTGTAATCCCAGCTACTCTGGAGGCTGAGGCAGGAGAATCACTTAACCAGGGAGGTGGAGGTTGCAGTGAGCCAAGATTTCGCCATTGCACTCCAGCCTGGGCAACAAGAGTGAAACTCCAAAGAAAAGAAATGTGGTTGGTCTGAATGGAGATGTGCTGTAAGTATAAAATACCAGATTTCGAAGGCTTGGTGTAAAGGGAAAAAAAGATGTAAAGCATTCCAATACTTTTCATATTGATTGCATGTTTAAAAGATAGTATTTTTGAGGAGGGCGGATCCCCTGAGATCAGGAGTTCAAGACCCTCCTGGCCAACATGGTGAAACCCCGTGTCTACTAAAATAGAAAAATTAGCTGGGCAGGATGGTGGGTGACTATAATCCCAGCTACTCAGGAGGCTGAGGCAGGAGAATTGCTTGAACCCAGGAGGTGGAGAATGCAGTGAGCTGAGATCATGCCACTGCACTCCAGCCAGGGCAGCTGAGCGAGACTGTCTCAAGAAAAAAAAAAAGGCAGGGAGCGGTGGCTCACGCCTTTAATCCCAGCACTTTGGGAGGCCAGCGCGGGTGGATCACAAGGTCAAGAGATCGAGACCATCCTGGTCAACATGGTGAAACCCCGTCTCTACTAAAAATACAAAAAAATTAGCTGGGCATGGTGGCACGTGCCTGTAATCCCAGCTATTCAGGAGGCTGAGGCAGGAAAATTGCCTGAACCCAGGAGGCGGAGGTTGCAGTGAGCCGAGATCGCGCCATTGTACTCCAGCCTGGGTAACAAGAGTGAAACTCCGTCTCAAAAAAAAAAAAAAAATGTTCTGGGTAGGTTGGGTAAAATGCAATGCATATAGCTGGTTGCGGTGGCTCACGCCTGTAATCCCAGCACTTTGGGAGGCCAAGGCGGGCAGATCACTTGAGGCCAGGAGTTCGAGACCAGCCTGGCCAACATGGCAAAAACCCATCTGTACAAAAAATTAAAAAAAAAAAATTAGCTGGGTGTTGTGGTGCATGCCTGTAATCCCAGCTACTTGGGAGGTTAAGGCAGGAGACTTGCTTGAACCTGGGATGCGGAGGTTGCAGTGAGCTGAGATTACCCAGCCTGGGTAACAGAGTGAGACTGTTTTTAAAAAAAAGGTGGGCAGGTATGAAGAGAGAGGTAAATAATTAAACCAGCCTCTGAGAATAGGAGAGGAGGGCCAAGTCAAAGCCACAGAGTGGCCGGGAGCCATGGTTCATGCCTGTAATCCCAGCACGTTGGGAGGCCAAGGCAGGTGGATCACAAGGTCAGGAGTTTGAGAGCAGTCTGGTCAATACGGTGAAAACCCATCTCTACTAAAAATACAAAAATTAGCCAGGTGTGGTGGTGCATGCCTGTAATCCCAGCTACTCTGGAGGCTGAGGCAGGAGAATTGCTTGAACCCGGGAGGTGGAGGTTGCAGTGAGCCGAGATCACGCCATTGCACTCCAGCCTGGGCAACAAGAGTAAAATTCCATTAAAAAGAAAAGCCACAGTGTAGAAGCTTCAGATGAAGTTCAAAGCCATACAGTCATAAGGAATGCCAGGAGTCAGTAACACAGCAAGTTAATATCTTTGAGCAGACGTGCAGCTACAGTTGTGGAATAAATTTCCTCCTGAAAGCGAAACTCTACGTGCACACCACCTACAGTGCATTAAAGCAGAGATTATGCAAACACTTCAAGAGAAAGGGCACTTGATCTCAGACCGGCAAAGCCCATGGGCCCTCGGTGTGATATATCAATGTACCTTCAGGAAGAGTGGGTCAGCGGCTGATCAGCATTAGAGAAAACAGTCAACAAAGCCAGCTCTGGCTGTGTCCACAGCTCCTGGATACCACTTCCTCCAGCTCCTGGGGCCAACGCTCTTGGGTCATCCCTGACTGCTCCCACTCTCATAACACCCATCAGCAAATCCTGTTGACTCCACTTCACATTGGATTCTGGGCCAGGCTCTGTGGTTCACCTTTGTAATCCCAGTACTTTGGGGAGCCGAGGAGGGTGGATCACTTGAGGTCAGCAGTTTGAAACCAGCCTGGCCAACATGATGAAACCCCAACTCTACTAAAAATGCAGAAGAAATTAGTTGGGCATGGTGGCAAGTGCCTGTAATCCCAGCTACTCAAGAGGCTGAGGCAGGAGAATGGCTTGAACCCAGGAGGCAGACGTTGCAGTGAGCCAAGATCTTGCCACTGCAGTCCAGCCTGGGCAACAGGGGAAGACTCCATCTCTCTCTCTCTCTCTCACACACACACACACACACACACACACACACAATAGATTCTGAACCTGACCACCTTGGCACCCCCACCAGTCCAAACAACACCCCTGCTCTGGCTCCCCTCGGCCCGCTTACCTCCCGGGACAGGGGATCCAGTTAGAATGATGCTCACACATTGTTCTGCTCAAAACCATCCAATGGCTTCCATTTCACACAGGGTGAAGGTCATGTCCTGATGGCCTGCACGTCTCTTTGTGGCCTATGCCTGACTTGGCATGGTGGCCCTGACCCATCTCCTGCACCTCCATTGGCTGACTCTGCCCCAGAGCCCTGGCGGCTGCATACAGTTTCAGGGACACCAGGGACCTTCCCCTCTGGCCTCTGCACTTCCTGCTCCCTTGGCCCGGAACAGCCTGCCTCCCAAAGCGCTGGGATTACAGGCATGAGCCACCTCGGCCAGCCTGAAAACAAAACTTCAACAGAGGTCATCAAGTTATAATGAAGTTATCAGGGTGGGCCTCAATCCAGTAATACTGGTGTCCTTACAAAAAGGGGAAATTGGACACAGAGACACACACAGAGGAAAGATGATGTGAAAACACAGAGAGAGGCCCACGCCTGTAATCCCAGCACTTCAGGAGGCCAAGGTGGGCAGATCACCTGAGGTCAGGAGTTCGAGACCAGCCTGGCCAACATTGTGAAACCCTGTCTCTACTGAAAATACAAAAATTAGCCAGGCATAGTGGTGGGCACCTGTGATCCCAACTACTCGAGAGGCTGAGACAGGAGATTGCTTGAACCTGGAGGTTGCAGTGAGCCGACGTGGCCTCGTTGCACTCCACCCGAAGCAGCAAGAGTGGAACTTCATCTGAATAAATAACTAACCACATTATTCCTATTTGATGTTCTCTCTGGATGTGTATATGCAAATTTCCCTCTTTCGTAAGGACACCTGTCATATTGGAACATGGCCCAGCCTGATGTCTTCATTTTAACTTGTTCACCTCTGAGAGGACCTTATCTCCAGATAAGATGACATTCTGAGGTGGTGGCAGCTGGAACTTCAACATACGAATTTGGTGGGGGAACAAGTCACAATTCAATCCATTACAGACCTACCCAATTGTGAGCTAACAATGAGCGTTATTAGAAGCTGTTGAATTTGGTGTGATGGTGTGTGCCTGTAGTCCCAGCTACTCAGGAGGCTGAGGCAAGAGGATGGCTTGAGCCCAGGAGTTCAAGGCTGCAGTGAGCTGTGACTGCTCCATGGCACCCCAGCCTCGTGACCTTGTCACTTAAAAAAAAAAAAACGCTAATTTTGTAGCGATTTGTTGCATAGCATAGAAAATTAATATAGTCTCCGTAGATGTTATAGTTAGTACCAGCTGCTGTTAAGAGTCTCTTTAAGCCAGGCACCGTGACTCATGCCTGTAATCCAGCAGCACTTCGGGAGGCAGAGGAGGGTGGATAACCTGAGGTCAGGAGTTTGAGACCAGCCTGACCAACATGGAGAAACCTTGTCAAAAAAAAAAAAAAGAGTATCTTTAAATCTGTAGATTTCCCCTGCATCTCTTTTTTCTCTCTTGCAGGTTTTTATTGAAACATTTGGAATGGTTAATTTGTATTGCTTCCCATAGTTTGGATTTTGCTAATTACATTCCTATGGTATAGGTTAACAAGACTCTTTCGTTCTTTTTTTTTTTTTTTTCTTTTTTTTTGAGACGGAGTTTCACTCATGCCCAGGCTGGAATGTAATGGCATAATCTCGGCTCACTGCAACCTCTGCCTCCCGAGTTCAAGTGATTCTCCTGCCTCAGCCTGCTGAGTAGCTGGGATTATAGGCAACCATCATCACGCCTAGCTAATTTTTGTATTTTTAGTAGATACTGGGTTTCACCACGTTGGCCAGGCTGGTATCGAACTCCTGACCTCAGGTGATCTGCCCATCTCAGCTTCCCAAAGTGCTGGGATTACAGGCATGAGCAATTGTGCCCGACACACGTGTCTTTTTTTCCTATAAATTGGTCATTGTGTTTAGAGTGTTAATCAGATTAAGGTTTTCTGTTTTTTTAAAGACTCTTTCAGAGTACACAACTGCAAGGTGTGTGTGTGTCTGTGTGTATATGTGAATTTATATAATTTTTAAGATAAGATGCCTCATGAAGCATACTGATACTTCTGATTCAAATTCAGGAGACAGGATGTTACTCATTCTCTTCCATTTCACCTCTGTAACTCCTTTTCCCTACACCAAGAATTCAGTTATCTGGCCACTGGGGATGATAAAATTTGAAAATCACAATTACTTGCAGGGTGAGGTGGCTCACACCTGTAACCCCAGCAATTTGGGAGGCCAAGGCAGGTGGATCACAAGGTCAAGAGATCGAGACCATCCTGGTCAACATGGTGAAACCCCATCTCTACTAAAAATACAAAAATTAGCTGGGGATGGTGGCATGTGCCTATAATCCCAGCTACTCAGGAGGCTGAGACAGGAGAATTGCCTGAACCCAGGAGGCGGAGGTGGCAGTGAGCCAAGATCACGCCATTGCACTCCAGCCTGGGTAACAAGAGCAAAACTCTGTCTCGAAAAAAAAAAGAAAGAAAGAAAGAAAATCACAATTACTAATTGCTTTGTCCCATGTTCAAAACCACTCTTGGAATAAAAATATAACATTATCACTCCATATGATCACTAAAAACAGTTCAAAAAAGTTTTTATTTTATTTTTATTATTATTTTTTGAGACTGAATCTTGCTCTGTCACCCAGGCTGGAGTGCAATGATGTGATCTCAGCTCACTGCAACCTCTGCCTCCCAGGTCCAAGCAATTCTCCTGCCATAGCCTCCTGAGTATCTGGGATTACAGGTACCCACCACCACACTCAGTTAATTGTTGTATTTTAGTAGAGATGAAGTTGCACCATGTTGGCAAGGGGTCTCGAACTCCTGACCTTAAGCTATCCACCTGCCTTGACCTCCCAAAATGCTGAGATTACAGGCCTGAGTCACCGAGCCTGGCAAAAAAAAAAAAAAACATTGCAGGCTGGGTGCGGTGGCTCATGCCTGTAATCTCAGGACTTTGGGAGGCTGAGGCAGGCGGATCACAAGGTCAGGAGATCGAGACCATCCTGGCCAACATGGTGAAACCCCATCTCTACTAAAAATACAAAAATTAGCTGGGCGTGGTGGCTCATGCCTGTAATCCCAGCTACTCAGGAGGCTTCGGCAGGAGAATTGCTTGAACCCAGGAGGTGGAGGTTGCGGTGAGCCGAGATCACACCATTGCACTCCAGTCTGGCGCCTGGCGATGGGGGGAGACTCTGTCTCAAAAAAAAAAAAAACCATTGTAAACATATGCCCACACCATTTTCTCCCCCAATTTATAGGTCTGCTGTGTCTACGTTGTTGGCGAATGTAACATTACACTCCATTCTCTCCCTATTACTGCTCATCTTCTCTTAGTTCTCCATGTAAATGTACATGTAACGTTCACACCAGGCTAATGTCAACATCTTTTTGGTTGCTTTGGTTGTCTGAAGCTCATTTTCTAGTAATTCCTCAGGAAAGGCTTTGGAAACAATATTCTCTGGGTTCCTGCATCTTTTTTCTGGTGGTTGTTTTTAAGACAGAGTCTCCCTCTGTCACCCAGCCTAGAGTGCAGTGGTGCAATCTCGGCTCACTGCAACCTCTGCCCTGCCCCAGGTTCAAGCAATTCTCCTGAGTAGCTGAGTAGCTGAGATTACAGGCATGTGCCACCGCGCCCAGCTATTTTTGTATTTTCAGTAGAGACGGGGTTTCTCCATGTTGGCCAGGCTGGTCTTGAACTCCTGACCTCAAGTGATCCACCTGCCTCAGCCTCCCAAAGTGCTGGGATTACAGGCATCAGCCACTGCGTCCAGACTGAGAATCTGCTACTTTTATACTTAAAAGTTAGTTTGACCAGATATAAAATCCTGGCTCCGTTTGTGTTTTCTTTGAGTATCCTAAATGTATTAATCCAGTTTTTCTGACAGAAAGTGTTGCTGTCTGTCTCTGTCAGTTCAGATTGCCATAATGAATACCCTAGACTGAATGGGTTTAAAAAACCCCAAATTTATTTTCTTACAGTTCTCAAGATGGTAGGTCCGAGGTGGAGGTGCCGGCAGGGTCAAGTTCTGGTGAGGACTCCTTCTCGGGCACGCAGACTGTTGCCTTCCTTCGATTCCTCACGTGGGGGAGGCGAGGAGAGACCGAGATCTTCTTCCTAGAAAACCACAGTCCTATTGGACTAGAGCCCCACCATTATGACTTAATTAACCTCACTTACCTCCTAAAGACCCCGTCTCTAGGTACAATCACAATGGGAACTAGGGCTTCATGTGAATTTGGGGAGTGGGTGGACATACACAATTCAGTCCAAAGCCCTGTGGAAAACTTTAATGGTCATTTCCCCCCATTATAGGCCACATGATCTAGATGGCAAGATGAGTAGGTGATTGAATCATTCCGGGTTCTCCAGAGAAACAGAACCAGTAGTGCGTATATATACGTGTGTGTGTGTGTGTGTGTGTGTGTGTGTGTGTGTGTGTATACACAAAGAGAGAGAGATAGAGATTGAGGTTTATTTTGAGGAACTGGCTCACAGATTGTGGGGTCTGGCAAGTCTGAAATCTGTAGGCAGGCTGCAGGCTGGACACTCAGGCAGGAATTCTAGGTCACAGTCTTCTCCAACAAACCTATGCTTTTCTCTCTCTCTCTCTTTTTTTTCTTTTCCTGAAACGGTCTCACTCTGTCACCCAGGCAGAGTGCAATGATGCAATCATGGCTCATGGCAACCTCAACCTCCCAGGCTCAAGTGATCCTCCCACCTCGGTCTCCTGAGTAGCTGGGACAACAGGTGTGCACCACCATGCCAGCTAATTTTTGTATTTTTTTTTGTAGTGAGTGTCTCACTATGTTGTCCAGGCTGGTCTTGAACCCCTGGGCTCAAGTGATCCACCCATCTTGGCCTCCCAAGGTGTTGGGATTACAGGTGTGAGCCACTGCGCCCAGCTCTGCTTTTGTTCTTTTTTTTTTTTTTTTTTTGAGACGGAGTTTTGCTGTTGTTACCCAGATTGGAGTGCAATGGCGTGATCTCGGCTCACGGCAACCTCCACCTTCTGGGTTCAAGCAATTCTCCCGCCTCAGCCTCCCGAGTAGCTGGGATTACAGGTGCGCACTACCATGCCCAGCTAATTTTTGTATTTTTAGTAGAGACGGGGTTTCACATTGTTGACCAGGATGGTCTCGATCTCTTGACCTTGTAATCCACCCGTCTCGGCCTCCCAAAGTGCTGGGATTACAGATGTGAGCCACTGCGCCCAGCTCTGCTTTTGTTCTTAAGGTCTTCAACTCACTGGTTGAAGCCCACCCAGGTTATGAAAGGTCATTTCTACTTAATGTCTGCTCATAGCTAACTTTGACCACAGCTGCCAAATACCTTCACAGGCTTAAAAGAAGAACTTTAGACAAAATAAATGTAACAGTTTATTTGAGCAAAGAACAAATTCATGAATCAGGAAGCACCAGACCAAAAGGAGGGTGTGAGCTCCACCCCAGCAACACGGGCAGCGAGCTGGGTTTTTGTTGTTGCTGTTGTTGTATTTATTTATTTATTTTGAGGTGGAGTTTCACTCTTGTTGACCAGGCTGGAGTGCAATGATGCAATCTCGGCTCACTGCAACCTTCTTCTCCTGGGATCAAGTGATTCTCCTGCCTCAGCCTCCTGAGTAGCTGGGATTACAGGCACCCATCTCCATGCCCAGCTAATTTTTTGTATTTTTAGTAGAGACAGGGTTTCACCATGTTGAACAGGAAGGTCTCCATCTCTTGACCTCGTGATCCACCTGCCTCAGCCTCCCAAAGTGCTGGGATTACAGACGTGAGCCACTGGGCCAAGCCGCTCAGTGACTTTTTATAGGCTGAACATAGAAACAAGGCAAAGAAACTACCTGATTGACTACTGCTGGGCATTTGACTTATTTGAATATGGGTCAGTAAGCGGTCCCTAGTTATATAACCAAAAGGCTGGTTGGCTGGTTGTGATTGGCTGCAGCCTGGTTCTGTTTGGGTTTTCTTAATTAGTTACAAAAAATGCCTTCAAATTTACTTTCAGGCCAAGAGCAATGGCTCATGCCTGTAATCCCAGCACTGTGGCAGGCGGAGGCAGGTAGATCACCTGATGCCAGGCGTTCGAGACCAGCCTGGCCAACATGGCAAAACACCATCGCTACTAAAAATACAAAAATTATAGGCCAGGCGCAGTGGCTCATGTCTGTAATCCCAGCACTTTGGGAGGCTGAGGCAGGCAGATCATGAGGTCAGGAGTTTGAGACCAACCTGGCCAATATGGTGAAACCCCATCTCTACTAAAAATACAAAAATTAGGTGGGTGTGGTGGTGTGCGCCTGTAATCCCAGCTACTCAGGAGGCTGAGGCAGGAGAATTGCTTGAACCTGAGAGGCAGAGGTTGCAGTGAACCAAGATCACACCACTGCACTCCAACCTGGGCGACAGAGGGAGACTCCATCTCAAAAAGAAAAAAAATATATAGCTGGGTGTGTTGGTGCATGCCTATAGTCCCAGGTACTAGTGGGGCTGAGACAGAAGAATCGCTTAAGCCTGAGAGATGTAGGTTGCAGTGAGCCAAGGTCTTGCCATTGCATTCCAGCCTGGGCAACAGAGTGAGACTCCATCACAAAAAAAAAAGAAAAGAAACAAGGAAAGAAAGAGAAAGGAAGGAAGGAAGGAAGGAAGGAGGGAAGGAAGGAAGGAAGGAAGGAAGGAAGGAAGGAAGGAAGGAAGGAAGGAAGGAAGGAAGGAAGGAAGGGAAGGGAAGGAAAACAAAAAAACTGCAAATCAGATACACAAGTTAATATTTATTTGGAATTGGAAATAAAATCACCACAAGTTGCTGGAGCTAGAAGACTTGTTCCCTTTCTTCTGAGAACTCCTTGGGTGATTTATCAGCAATGCTCACACAGATCTTCCTGCTCTTGGCAACGTGTCAGGGGCCTAGCTTGTAATCGCAGCATCTCCCTGACATTTCCTTCCTGATCTGCTCAGAACCAAGGAAACCTTGCTGTCTCCTAAGAGCAAGGGTCAGGGTGAGGGTTAAAGTGGATTTTTTTCTCCTGGTTCTTTCTTTTGTTTTTTCCAGAGATGGGGTCTTGCTATGTTGCCCAGCTGGAGCACAGTGGCTATGGACAGATATAACATAGCACACTGCAGCCTGAAACCTCTGGGCTCAAGTCATCCTCTGGAGTCAGTCTCTGAAGCAGCTGGGACTATGGGAACGGGCCACCAAGATCAGCTGTCCTAGTTCATGCTTATGCTAGGAAGACAGCCACCTTGCAAAATACCTCTCACATTGCAAAATACAATCATTTCTTCTCGATATCTTCCAATGTTTTAACTTGTTCCAGCATTAACTCAAAAGGCCCATGTCCAAACTCCAAAGTCTCATCTGAGACTCAAATTTTCACCAGTGAGCCTGTAAAAATCAAAAGCAAGTTATTTATTGCCAAGACGGAATGGGGGTACAGGCAATGGGTAAACATTTCCATTCCAAAAGGTGGAAATCTGCCAAAAGGCAGGGCCAACAGGCTCCACATGAATCCAAAACCCAGAAAGGCAGGCATTAAACCTTAAAGCTCCAAAATAATCCCTGACTCCCTGTCCTGAATCCAGGACACATTGGTGCAAGGGGTGAGCTCCCAAGGCCTCAGGCAGCTCCGCCCGTGTGGCTGAGCAGGGTGCAGCCCCGTGGCTGCTTTCACGGGCTGGAGTTGAGTGTCTGCGGCTTTTCCAGACTCTGGGTACAAGCTGCCCATGGCTCTACCATTCTCTGCCCTGGAGGGTCCCAGTTTCCATAGGGAGAGTCATTTATTAGACCCCCCACCTCTGCTAGGGGCTCAGGCTTGGTCTTCTGTCTGCTCCCCAGGACAAGAAAAGTTGAAGCTCAAGTTCAACAGCAAAAGCCTCCAAGGAAAAGCAGCTCAAGGCCTTCTTCTCCTCTCTGGAGACCTATAACTGTGTAACCATGTACCCCAAAAGTTAATGACAATTCCAAATCAGCCTCAGCTTGAAAGAATGTATGCAGTTCACACTACGAAAAATGAACTCCTCTCTCCAATATTTAAGAGTTCTAGGTTGGGCGTGGTGGCTCACACCTGTAATCCCAACACTTTGGGGGGGCCAAGGCAGGTGGATCACCTGAGGTCAAGAGTTCGAAACCAGCCTGGCCAATATGATGAAACCCCCATCTCTACTAAAAATACAAAAAGAAAAAAAATTAGCCAAGCATGGTGGCAGGCACCTGTAGTCCCAGCTACTTGGGAGGCTGAGGCAGGAGAATCACTTGAACCAGGGAGGTGGAGGCTGCAGTGAGCTGAGATCACACCACTGCACTCCAGTCTGGGTGACAGAGCGAGACTCTGTCTTGAAAAAAAGAAAAAAAGAAAGAAAGAAAAAGTTCTAGGCCAGGAGGGGTGGCTCATACATGTAATCCCAGCACTTTGGGAGGCCAAGGCAGGTAGATCACCTGAGGTCAGGAGTTCAAGACCAGCCTGGCCAACATGGTGAAACCCTTTCTCTACTAAAAATACAAAAATTAGCCTGGCATGGTGGCACACACCTGTGATCCCAGCTACTCCAGAGGCTGAGGCAGGGAGAGTCACTTGAACCTGGGAGGTGGAGGTTGCCGTGAGCCACGACTGCGACACTGCACTCCAGCCTGGGTGACAAGGTGAAACTTTGTCTCAAAAAAACAGTTCTAAGAAATCCAGGGGAGCGGGGAAGAGAAAGGACCTTAAAAATACAGATGATCCTTAAATATATAAAAAGATGATTAAGCCAATTTATAAAAAGAAAAAAATTCTAAGCACCATAAGATACAATTTCTCATCTATCAAATTGACACACTTTCAAAAGCCGGATGCTCTCATCTGCCACGGGGAAGGAGGCAGGCTTGTCTAGTGCAGGAGGGAAGGAAAATGAGGCCGTCTGGTGATGCGGAAACATGCAGAAAATGACAAATGTGTTTAGCCTTTGCCCTGGCTCTCCCACCTCTGGGAAGTTATCTCACGGTTATCTGTGACTGTGCTATTCACTGAAGCATTGTCTGCAAAGCAAAAAGTGGGAAAGGTTCCAATATTCTCTCTGTAGAGGGCAGATAAATACAACCGTGGAATAGTCAGCAGAAGACCCAGCAGAAGACTTCACAAGTATGAAAATGAATGAGGCAGTTTTGTGATTTTTTTTCTTTGACAAATATAGGAGAAGCTCAGGAATATATTGCTAAGGTGCTGAACAGCGTATACAACTAAACTACTTTTCTTTTTCTTTTTCATTTTCTTTTTGAGACGGAGTTTCACTCTTGTTACCCAGGCTGGAGTGCAATGGCGCGATCTCCGCTCACCGCAACCTCCGCCTCCTGGGTTCAGGCAATTCTCCTGCCTCAGCCTCCTGAGTAGCTGGAACTACAGGCACGCGCCACCGTGCCCAGCTAATTTTTGTATTTTTAGTAGAGATGGGGTTTTACCATGTTGACCAGGATGGTCTCGATCTCTTGACCTCGTGATCCACCTGCCTCAGCTTCCCAAAGTGCTGGAATTACAGGCGTGAGCCACCGCGCCTGGCCCCTACTTTTCTTTTTCTTTCTTTTTTTTTTTTGAGATGGGGTCTCGCTCTGTTGCCCAGGCTGGAGTGCAGTGGTATGATGTCGGCTCATGGCAACCTCTGCCTCCTGGTTTCTAGCAACTCTCCTGCCTCAGCCTCCTGAGCAGCTAGGATTACAGGCATGCACCACCATGCCCAGCTAATTTTTGTATTTTTCAGTAGAGACGGGGTTTCGCCATGTTGGCCAGGCTGGTCTTGAAGTCCTGATCCCTGGTGATCTGCCCGCCTCGGACTCCCAAAGTGTTGAGATTAGTGGCATGACACACAGCGCCTGGCCATTTTCTTTTTTTAAAATGACAGAGTCGGCCGGGCGCGGTGGCTCAAGCCTGTAATCCCAGCACTTTGGGAGGCCGGGGCGGGTGGATCACGAGGTCAAGAGATCGAGACCATCCTGGTCAACATGGTGAAACCCCGTCTCTACTAAAAATACAAAAAATTAGCTGGGCATGGTGGCGCTTGCCTGTAATTCCAGCTACTCAAAAGACTGAGGCAGGAGAATTGCCTGAACCCAGGAGGCGGAGGTTGCGGTGAGCCGAGATCGCGCCATTGCACTCCAGCCTGGGTAACAAGAGTGAAACTCCGTCTCAAAAAAAAAATAAATAAATAAAATAAAATAAAATGACAGAGTCTTGCTCTGTTGCCTATGATAGAGTGCAGTGGCACCATCATGACTCACTGAAGCCTTGGCCACCCCAGGCTCAGGTGCTCCTTCCACTTCAGCCTCCCAAGTAGCTGGGACTACAGGCACACTCCACAATACCCGGCTAATATATATATATATATTTGAGACGGAGTTTCGCTCTCGTTACCCAGGCTGGAGTGTAATGGTACGATCTCGGCTCACCACAACCTCTGCCTCCTGGGTTCAGGCAATTCTCCTGCCTCAGCCTCCTGAGTAGCTGGGATTACAGGCACGCGCCACCATGCCCAGCTAATTTTTTGTATTTTTGGTAGAGACGGGATTTCACCATGTTGACCAGGATGGTGTCGATCTCTTGACCTCATGATCCACCCGCCTCGGCCTCCAAACGTGCTGGGATTACAGGCGTGAGCCGCCGCGCCCCGCCCTAATTTTTATATTTTTTGTAGAGACAGGGTTTTTCTATGTTGCCCAGGCTGGTCTCAAAATCCCGGGCTCAAGTGATCCTCCTAACTTGGTCTCCCAAAGTGCTGGGATTAGAAGACCTCCTAACTTGGTCTCCCAAAGAGGAAGTTTCTTAAAGTGGATCACGAAAATAGGGTGGATGACGACTGGGTGTGGTGGCTCACGCCTGTAATCCCAGCACTTTGGAAGACCAAGGTGGGTGGATCACCTGAGGTTGGGAGTTTGAGACGAGCCTGACCAACATGGAGAAACTCTGTCTATACTAAAAATACAAAATTAGCCTGGCATGGTGGCATGTGCCTGTAATCCTAGCTACTCAGGAGGCTGAGGCAGGAGGATCGCTTGAACCCGGGAGATGGAGGTTTCAGTGAGCTGAGACTGTGCCACTACACTTCAGCCTGGGCAACAAGAGCAAAACTCCATCTCAAAAAACGCAAACCAAAAAAAATATATATATATATATAGCCCATTGTACATCTTAGGCCTGTTTTATCTGTGAACCACGTGAATTCATTACCTTCTAAAAAATTAAACATGTAAAACTAAATGAAGACCAGGCACGGTGGCTCATGCCTGTAATTCCAGCACCTTGGGAGGCTGAGGTAGGTGGATCACTTGAGCGCAGGAGTTCAAGGCCAGCCTGGGCAACATGGTGAAACCCTGTCTCCACCAAAGATATAAAAAATAGGCTGGGCACGGTGGCTTATGCCTGTAATCCCAACACTTAGGGAGGTGGAGGCAGGTGAATCACCTGAGATCAGGAGTTTGAGACCACCCTGGCCAATAGGGTGAAACTTCATCTCTACTAAAAATATAAAAATTAGCCAGGCATGGTGGCACACACCTGTAATCCCAGCTACTTGAAAAGCTGAGGCAAGAGAATCGCTTGAACCTGACAGGTGAAGGTTGTAGTGAGCCACGATCATGCCACCGCACTCCAGCCTGGGCAACAGAGCCAGACTCTGTCTCAAAAACAATCATAAATAAAATAAAATAACTCAATGAAAATGAAAATACAGCATGCCAAATTATATGGAACACAGCTAAAATTGCTTTTTTAGAAAGCTAGAACATTAGGCTGGTGTGGTGGCTCATTCCTGTCATCCCAGCTAAGAGGCTAAGGAGAGAGCGTTGCTTGGGCCCACGAGGTCATGACCCAATCTCTACAAAAAATCAAAAATTAGCCAGGCACAGTGGTGCATGCCTGTAGTCTCAGCTACTTGGAAGGCTGAGGTAGGAGACTCATTTGAGCCCAGGAGGTCGAGGCTACAGCGAGCCGTGATTGTGCCACTGCAGTCAGCCTGGGCAACAAAATAAGACCCTGTCTCAAAAGAAAAAGAAAAGAAATTTGGAGAATTAAATGCATGTATTGAAGCTGGAAGTGGTGGCACATGCCTGTAGTTCCAACTACTCTGGAGGCTCAGGTGGGAGGATTGCTTGAGCCCAAGAGTTTGAGGCTGCAGTGAGTTGTGATTGTACCACTGCACTCCAGGCTGGGTGGCAGAGCAAGCCCTTTTCTGCAAAAAGAAAAAAAAACTGGCCAGGCACAGTGGCTCACACCTACAACCCCAACACTGTGGGAGGCCAAGGTGGGCGAATCACTTGAGGTGAGGAGTTCAAGACCAGCATGGCCAACATGGTGAAATCCCATCTCTAAAAATAGAAAAATTAGCCGGGCATAGTGGTGCATGCCTGTAATCCCAGCTACTTGCGAGGCTGAGGCAGAACTGCTTGAGCCCAGGAGCCAGAGATTGCAGTGAGATGAGATCACACCATTGCACTCCAGCCTGGGCGACAGAGCAAGACTGTCGAAAATGAAAGAAAGAAAGAAAGAAGGAAAAAAATTGAATATAAAATGTTTTAGATAAATATATGATTTGGAAACAAAATTTCTTTTTTTTTTTTCTGAGATGGAGTTTCACTCTTGTTGCTGGGATTACAGGCATGTGCCACCACGCCTGGCTAATTTTGCATTGTTAGTAGAGACAGGGTGTCTCCATGTTGATCAGGCTGGTCTTGAACTCCCAGCCTCAGGGGATCCACCTGCCTTGGCCTTCCGAAGTGCTGAGATGACAGGTGTGAGCCACCACACCCAGCCAAAATTTCTTTTTTTAATTAAAGTAGGCCAGGAATAGTGACTCATGCCTATCATCACAGAGCTTTGGGAGACTGAGGCAGGAGGAGGATTGCTTGAAGCCAGGAGTTGGAGACCAGCCTGGGCAACATAGTCAGATCCCCATCTCTACAAAAAAAATCTTTAAAGGTTAGCTGGGCATTGTGGTCCATTCCTGTAGCCCTAGCTACTTGGGAGATTGAGATGAGAGGATCACTGAGTTCAAGGCTACAGTGAGCAATGATTGCGCCACTGCTCTCCAGCCTGGGTGACAAAGCAAGACCGTGTCTCTCAAAACAAAAAAAAAGGTAAAGCAAGTTGGAAGAGAGCAAAACACGCTCAGTAAGGACTGTACATTTTGACTGAGTGCAGTGGCTAATGCCTATAATCCCACACTTTGGAGACAGCCGGATCTCCTGAGGTCAGGAGTTCGAGACCAGCCCGGCCAACATGGTGAAACCCTGTTTCTACTAAAAATACAAAAATTTGGCTGGGCGTGGTGGTGCGTGCCTGTAATCCCAGCTACTTGGGAGGCTGAGGCAAGCAAATCACTTAAACCTGGGAGGCTGAGGCAGGAAAATTGCTGGAACCAGGGAGGCAGAGGTTGCAGTGAGCTGAGATCGCACCACTACACTCCAACCTGGGTGACAGAGCAGGACTACATCTCAAATAAATAAATCAATATATTTTTTTTTTAAGATGGGGTTTCACCATGATGGCCAGGGTGGTCTTGAACTCCTAACCTCAGGTGATCCACCCACCTCGGCCTCCCAAAGTGCTAGGATTACAGGTGTGAGCCACAGCACCTGGCCATAAATGTACATTTCACTGTCTACATATATGCTAGCCCCCATGTATGTTTGTCTTTAAATCTTTTTTTTCTGTTTTTATTTTTGTTTGTCTTTAAATCTAATGTTCTTGGCCATGTCTGTTCCAGGGTCCAGTCCAGGATACTGCTGCATTTAGTTTCAGGGATTGTTTTCATTTCACCGACTTAGCTTGGGGGCCTTGTCTGGCTGATGAAGGAGGGCCTTTTGGGAAACACTTGTCCCTCACAAGTGGTTCTAGGAACGCTGCATACACTCCTAACTCTCTGGATGCCGCTACGATGTTAACATAAATAAGTGGTGAGAACATAAGACCTGAAGAAGCCAGGCCGGGCGCGGTGGCTCACGCCTGTAATCCCAGCACTTTGGGAGGCCAGGGCGGGTGGATCACGAGGTCAAGAGATCGAGACCATCCTGCTCAACATGGTGAAACCCCGTCTCTACTAAAAATACAAAAAATTAGCTGGGCATGGTGGCGCGCGCCTGTAATCCCAGCTACTCAGGAGGCTGAGGCAGGAGAATTGCTTGAACCCAGGAGGCGGAGGTTGCGGTGAGCCGAGATCACGCCATTGCACTCCAGCCTGAGTAACAAGAGGGAAACTCCGTCTCAAAAAAAAACAACCTCCCGCCAGAATCCACGCCCTCCCCCACCCTGCTTGCTGCTGCTTTTGTGAGCCCTTTTAGGGAAACCGGGAGAGAATGTTCTTAGCAGCTCTCCGCCAATTGAATCTGCAGACATTGACTGAGCCCTTACTATGTGCATGGTCCTCTGGTAGATGTTATGGAGGAAATCAAAGTTGAATGAGACCTTTTCCCACTTTTTAGGGCAGACATACAGCCAGAGAGGCAGCCTAGACCCCAGAGACTGCAACACCTTGTAGAGGTGAAAGGCAGGTCGCAGCAGCAGTGAAGGAGATGGGGCGATGCATTTCACCTGGGCTTCCTGGAGCAGGTGACTGAACCATGCCTTAAAAGAAGGGAGGATTTCAAGGGTAAAGGCAAAAGGGAGCTGTGTTCTGGGCTGAAGAAACAGCATAACAAAGATACAGAGGTGTGAACGTTGGGGGCAGCTGCAGAGAATGGGCAGCCCAACATTCCTGGACTTGCATGTGTTATCGAGGAGAGAGGGGACCCCAAAGAAGGCTTTGAATGCCAGGGCAGGAATCCACCTCCCTCCAGCAGGCAGGGAGAAGCACCAGAGACTTCCACACAGCCAAGTAAGATCAGAGCTCCAGCTGAGCTCCAGCGGGGAGCTGGTGGTGTGGTGCGAGGTGATTTCTCTTGTCTTGTTGGGGTGATGAGCCAGCCCAGGGGGTCGAGGGAGGGTGGGGTCCAGGAATGGAAGTGAGAGGCAGATGGGGAAAGTGTGATAATAGGATGTGAGTGTGAGGCTGAGGCTGGGGGTGGAAGTCAGGGGACTGAGGCCATGAATCTTCTGGGCAGAGGAGGGGGTGTCTGTGTTGAAGGGGCTGTTGAGGTGAAGGTGCTGGAGGTCAGGTCCCCATGCTGGGGTCAGGCTGGAGCCTGGTGGCCAGGCATAAATGTGGCATCGTCAGTGAAGAGAAGGTGGCAAGGGGTCCTCAGGACAGAAGAAAGAGACTGACCCACCTCACAGGGGTCATATCCTCAATGCCTGTCACCCCAGGATTTTTGACCCCTTGCATAACTTGGAAAGGGGTCCAGGCCCATGGAAAGCCAAACTGTTTACTGAGCTGATGGACAGCACCATGCATGGACCTTTCTAGAAGCGGTCTTTTCATCTCCCAGCTCCTAGCCTCCCCAAGGCCCTGCCACTCAGAATACGGGACAAGCTCCTCGGCCTCACAGGCAAGGCCCATCACAACCTAGTGCCACCACAGTCCATCGCCCACCTTGCCCACTTTTTCTAGCCGCTGACAACCTCCCCTGAATTGCAGCTCCCCCAGGAAGCCCCTTTAATTTCTGCAGCCCAAGGGTTGGCTCCCCTGTCCCAAACCAGGAGAACTGGCTGTAGGGATCTCTCCCCACCGCCGCGCGCTGGGCTGTGGCTCCTTCATGGGCACTGCTGGGCTGGAGCCAGAGGGGCCACATCCCGCTTGCTCCCAGGGCTTCCAACCAGCAAATGGTAGTGAAGGAACAGGAAGTCCCGTTTTGAGAGCCCCCAGCTAGACTGGAGTTCCAGTACCAGAGCAGCCAGCAGCCTGCCCTCAGCGGAAAAGTAGGGGCTAGATGTGGGTGTGAGCAGTGCACCTCTGCTGAGACTAGCTCGGTCGCAGGGACCCCAACCCAGGCGGCGCTGAAGGAATGAAGAAACAGACACAGAGATAGAGAGCAAAAAGGTGGGGGACATGACATTTTGGGCTGGATGATAAAGGTGTGGGACAACAGGGGAACCTCAGCATTCCCAGCTGAGAGCCTCACATATTTATTGACAGCAAACAAGTGATAATCATCATTTAGGCCGGGCGCGGTGGCTCACGCCTATAATCCCAGCACTTTGGGAGGCCGAAGCGGGTGGATCACGAGGTCAAGAGATCGAGACCATCCCGGTCAACAAGGTGAAACCCTGTCTCTACTAAAAATACAAAAATTAGCTGGGCATGGGGGTGTGCGCCTGTAGTCCCAGCTACTTGGGAGGCTGAGGCAGGAGAATTGCCTGAACCCAGAAGGCAGAGGTTGCGGTGAGCCGAGATCATGCCATTGCACTCCAGTCTGGGTAACAACAGCGAAATTCTGTCTCAAAAAAAAAAAAAAGATAATCATTTAACTAAAAGCATTCTTCGCAGGGAACAAAGCATTCTATACGAGTGGAAAGAAACAGGCTCCGGTGTTTATCCACTGCATCTGGAGCATGTCGTTAAGGCAAGAACCTGCTATTGTTTGTGGTTCAGAAGCACCCCAAGCAGTCTTCTGCCCAAGAGCTGGCCAGATATTTCTTTCCCTCGCTCTAGTAAACCAACTACCTCTAGCAATGTGCGTCTCTGCCATCACGAGTATCTCAGTGCTACTGATAGCCTGTATCTTTAAGGCCTGTTTATACCAGCTTAGGGCCTGCTCCCAACACACCTCTCAAGGGACACTTCTTGTACCTAGTGGACGACCTCACGCCTAGTGTCTGACCAGTGACCAGAGGTCCCTGACATTGGAAACGTCCGTGTCCAGTTCATGTTGCCTGACCACCTGGCTCTGGCACTGGGAGCCTGGCCTAGGGCAGCCCCTGGTTGTTCTGATGAAAAGTGCAAATTCAACCCACCACTCCAGCAGGGAGCAAGTCCAAAGGTTTTTGATAGAGAACCTGGGCAAGGAAGGTGTAATGAAACTGGAGGAAAGTCCTCGTCCCTGGGCACAGGAGGCAGGAGTGAAGAGTCAGGCAGAGAGAGATGAGAGCGCGTGGCAAGTAACAGTAGATGGAAGGGAAGAGGTCATGGGTCAGCACGTTTGCTGGCCAAATGCCTGACTGTTCTTTTTAAAGGAAGTAGCAGGAGAGCAGTCCGATAGGCGGGAGCGATGCCTCTAAGTGTTCTGTTCTTTTTTTTTCTTTTTTTGGGGGGGTGGGGGCTGAGACTGGAGGATTTTCTAGATCTTTTCTAAGTGGTTGTGGTATGGTGCACTGGTGGGGGTGGGGGTAGGTCACACTATGTTGCCCAGCCTGGTCTCGAACTCCTGGCCTCAAGCAATCTTTCTGACTTGGATCACAGCCCTGAGCCTAATAGCACCCTGTCAGGCCTCTAAATTCTTATCTCTGCAGTCATTTTGGGCATGGTTTGGCCTGAAAACTGGGCCAAGGGGTGACTGAGCCCTGCTTCTGCTAGAAAAAGTTTAGATCTGATCAAAATGTTATCTGATAGCGTAAATGTGTCATCAGTGAAGAGGGTGTGGCAACGGGTCCGCAGGGCAGAAGAGGAAAGAGACCAACTCACATGGTCAATTCCACTGTCACCCCAGGATCTGGATGCCTGATGAAAATGCACGCCAAGGCAGCATAAAGTCCTAAGAATTCACTACAAGTACTTGTTCTTACTTGTCTTAGACTTGCCACTTTCTGACTCAAAGGGTGCACTTTCCCTCCTTCACTGCGGGATTTAGTGCATGAACCTGCTCACCCCCAACGTCCTCTTCAGAAGCTGGGGTTTCTGATCCTTTCCGGGCAGATATTTGTAATCCCTCACCTGGAGGGCTCCTCCACGTCCCCAGTTTACACACTCATTTGCTCACCTGTACAACTGTTAGACTAGCTTGTACCAGGCTCTGCTGAGGACCCCAGGACACGGTGGGGACACAGTGGATACAGGCTGTCCGTCTCTCAAAGGGGCCAGTAAGCCACTAAACAAAGAGTAGCCTTCAACCCTGCGGCGCCGGCCAGCGAGCCCCCATAGGCCTAACTTGCTATGGCTGCTCCCTGGGCCTGGGCCAGCAGCTCCTGATCCCACGCGGGCGCGGTGGCAGCTGTCGGGACTGTCCGGGGGCGGGGGCCCTGATGTGCTCCAGCCGGTGGGCGCGGCCAGAGCGGTGCGAAGGCGGGGCCTGGTGAATGGGGGCGGGATCTGATTGGGCGTGGCCTTCCTGGGATGGGGCGGGGTGGCCTAGGGGCGGGGCTCGGAACTGTGGACGTCCCTCCCCTCCCGCGACCTATTTGGGCGGGAGTGAAAGCCGCACATTCGCCGGACCGGAGCGATGGGTGAAAACGCCCTACCAGGGCCCCTTAGACTCGAGTGGGACGGAGAGGCCTCGCGCGAGCCTTTCCACCTGTTTGGGATCGTGGAGGAGGACGGGCTGGAGGGGAGGGTTCGCCGACCGCGTCGCCCTCCTGGGTGTAGCAGCTCTTTCCTGAGCAGTCCCGGGCCGTGAGAGCGCGACCGGCCAGGAACTGGGGGGCCCCCGAGACACGGCCGCACGTGGCCTCGCAGGGTTCTGGGAGCCCGAATTAGCCGAGCGTGCGCGTGGGTGTCGGGGTGTGGAGGTCTTCAGCCCTGCAGTCCCTCCGCCTGCCATAAATTTTCGCTCTGTCCCTGTCCCCCAGTGTGACCTTGGGCGTGTAGTGCTGCTCCCAGTGCCTCAGTCTCCTGCTCTGGGGAGTGAGGGTGCGGCATCCCTCCGGACCCTAGGAAAGGCTTAGGAAACTAAGCCTTTTTTACTCCGGTTTTACAGGAAAGGAAACAAGTTTTTGTAACTTGCCCAAGGTCACCTAGTCAGCAAGTGGTAGGGTCCAGGCCTGGCCAACACACCCCCCCACCCCCGCTACCAGCACATTCTAGAAGGTTCTGCCTCAGCTTAAATGGGGTGCATGCTGTGAGGGCTGTCCCAGGTTTTTCCAGCCCAGCTTATCTTTCCCTCCTCTGGGAGTCCCGTCACCCATGTCTGGCACTCTCTCCCTAATACCCTCTGGGGGCAGCTAAGGGTCTGAGTCCCTCTGGGCATGAGCCCCTGACTCAAGCCCATCAGACAGAAATAAGGAGCTCAGGGAGCACCAGCTTCATGGATGAACGATTGAAGGAATGAAAGTCTGGCTCTGTCTTTCAGGTCTGATCTCAGAGCTGAGGCTGGCTGTGCCCTGGGGCCACATCGCAGCCAAAGCCTGGGGCTCCCTGAAGGGCTCCCCAGTTCTCTGCCTACATGGCTGGCTGGACAATGCCAACTCCTTCGACACACTCATCCCTCTTCTCCCGCAAGGTGAGGCTGGGAGCCAAGAGGGCGAGGGGGGAGGTCTGCACGGGAACAAGGAAGACCGTGAGACAGCTGGGGTAGACACCTGTTCCTACCCTCCAACCTGCTTCTCTCTGTTTCAGACTTGTATTACGTTGCCATGGATTTCGGGGGTCATGGGCTCTCATCCCATTACAGCCCAGGTGTCCCATATTACCACCAGAACTTTGTGAAAGATCCGAAGGGTTTCGGCAGGTAAGAAACAGAGTGTCTTTTGCGGGGGTTGCTCTGGGAGTCCCCTCACCCATGTCTGGCACTCTCTCCCTAATACCCTCTGGGGGCAGCTAAGGGTCTGAGTCCCTCTGGGCATGAGCCCCCGACTCAAGCCTCTTATCATTGGTGTGGGGGTAGGAAGCAGCCTGGGAGTGGGTGCCTGGGCTCTGGCCTTAGGTCTGCCAGCAATTCATGGGACTCCTTGGGCAAGTTGGAGAAGAGCTTGCTTCCTACAGTGGGTCCCCCAAGCTAGTCTCCTGGGTGGACACCCCAGAGGCTGGGAAGCAATTTCTTGAGCCCAGGGACTGGCAGCGAGTGGGCGGGCTGAGCCTGTACCCGGTCAGACCTTCTGGCTCCTTGCATTTCCAGCCTTGAAATGGAATCGGTTCTCCATCATGGGTCACAGCTTCGGTAAGTGCACTGGCCAGGAGCTGACTGGGCCCGAGGTGGGGCTGGGAAGGAAGGATGGGAGCTGCTGCCTCACCCCTTTCCCCTGAACTGAGAACTGCAAAGAGAGGAGAGTGTCAGTCAGAGATTGTGTGCCCTCTGACCTCAGGCAAGGGACACATGGATGAGGGAAATAAGATGAAGAGGCCATCAGGGCTCCGATACTGAGCCTCCAGTCATCCATATGGAGCTCCCTGTCCCTGCCGCGGGGTGGGAAGCTTTAGGGTTTGCAGCTGGGGAGGGAGGGAGGGAATTGGGAAGAAGCTTTAGGTTAGGGTTTGCAGCTGGGGAGGGAAGGAGGGAATTGGGAAGAAGCTTTAGGTTAGGGTTTGCAGCTGGGGAGGGAAGGAGGGAATTGGGAAGAAGCTTTAGGTTAGGGTTTGCAGCTGGGGAGGGAAGGAGGGAACTGGGAAGAAGCTTGAGGGTTTGCAGCTGGGGAGGGAGGGAACGTCACCCACGGCTCTGTTGTCCCCCAGGTGGCTTCGTGGCCGGGATGGTAAGTAGATGGCTTTGGTCAATTGGAGGTCCCTTGAGTGGGGTGGGGAGTGCAGAGAAGAAAGGGGAAGGTACCCGGGAAGTGTCTCCCAGGAAGTGCCTCCTCTGGTCTCAGTGATAGTTATACTAGGAAGTTGGTGTAAACGGTGGGGACTCCTGGTGGAGTTAATGCTTCCAGCCCCATACCCTGTCCCAGAGCACCCTGGAGTCCAGCCAGGGTCTGGAGCTCAGTGCTGGGTGCAGAGCTGGGGGGTGGGGGAAGGCACACCATGGGATAGAAGATTCTCCTTCTGATCTCTTGGTCAGCACCCTCCCCCAGCCTAAAAGATGTTTCAGGAAGCACCAGGGTCCTCAGGGAAAGCAGGGAGTGGCCTTTGCTTCTTTCCCCCACTCATTCTCCCCTTCTGGCGTCCTCTCAGTTTTCCTGTACCTTTCCGGAGATGGTAGATAAACTCATCTTGCTGGAGTCGTCACCATTTGTCCTGGACTTTCATGTGAGAAGCTGGGCTTTCATGCATGTAGTCAGTCGGGGGAAGACCTGGGCCCCGGGCAGTCCTCTCAGCCCTGTCTCCTTTGGTGGACACTAGGGAAGCAGGAGGAGATGGCAGAGGGGGGAAAGGGGAGTCAGGGACTTGCCTCCCAACAGAGGACAGCCTTTTGCTGCTTAGACCCCTAGGAGTGGTCAGGAGAAGGGTTGCAGGGGACCCCTTGGAAACTGTGTGGCCTGGGAGCTGAGGAATGCCAGGCTGGTCATGCAGTGGCAGTGGTGGAAGAGGGCAGGAGCCGTGGGTGAAGGACACTCTAGGCCACACAACTGTGCAGTCACACCCAGTCGCATGCCTTTGCACTGTGTACACGTTGCACAAGCACACATGACAGCCCTAAGTGTGGACTGATGGGACAAGTACTGACCCCTCTGCCACCACTACCAGTTATCAGTACTGTCCCTGAACCCGAGTCCTGGCTTGATTGTTTACCTGCTGGGTGACCCTTGGCAAGTTACTTTGCCTCTCTGGGCCTTAGTTCCCTCACCTGTAAAATGAGGTTGGACTCAATGACCTGGCCAACTCTGACTTCCTGTCACTTTCTTGCCCAGGGCTCAGTCTCCTGGTTGTGACACAACTCTCTTCAGTTTCAGTTTTCTTGTCCATAGAATGACCACAGATCCCATAAGAGCAAGAATGACGTCTGTCTCTTTGTCACCATATCCCCAGTCCTGGCACCTAGTAAGGGCTCAGTCAGTGTTCCCTCCAAGAGCTCGGCAAGCTCAGGGGCCATTGTAAGGACCCAATGCACAGATGGCAGGCAGCGGACACTCCCTTCTTTGTCCGTTTCACCAACTGAATTAACAAGCGTAGTGCCCCTAGGGCTTCCTCCTGGGTGAGTCAAGGGGGGCATTTGGTCCTCCTGTCCTCCATTCTCAGGGGTGGGTGGATGGGAGTTTCCCCCCAACCCCGGCACCCCCAGGCAACGAGCCCTTGGCTGTCCTCACAGAGTGAGCCACATGTGGTGGGGGAGCTTGGCAGCTCCAGGACTGCACTCCTTCTGCCATTGAGAATGATGGCATTCGTTGAAGCAGATGAAATCGACAATCCCGGATGGTCCATGGCCTCTGGACCCTAATTTCATGCCTTTGCAAAGCACTTGGCAGTTGACAGAGATTCTCCTTCCTCTCCGTCATCCCACCTGATTCTCAACTGTCCCTGGCCACGGGCAGGGCCAGGCCGGCTGTGAGAGACTACGGGGAGGACTTGTTCAGAATCTTGGGGCTCACTAGCCGGGGCTGGGTCTGTGTCCCCCTTTGCCGAGGGGCTCAGCTGAGAGTACAGGGTAGGGCTGGAAGGGTGGGGCCTCGTCTGCAGCCCAGAGCCCTGCTCACCCAGCCAACTGGCCACCTTAGGAAGTGGAGAATTTGCATCCGTCTGTCTCCCGCAGGTTCCTGAAGAGCAATAGCCACGTGAGTGAGAAGTGTGGCGAGCTCCTCCTGCAGAGAGGAACCATGAAGGTGGCCACAGGTAAGGGACTCGCTGTCCATTGTATATTTGTTACTCTTCTTACTGAGGATGTCAAGGACTTGCAGGCAGGATACTAACCATTTCGCAAACAGCGTCTCGCTGAATCCCCCTCCTACCTCATCCTCATCCCGTTTACAGCAGGAGAAACTGAGGCTCAGCACTGCCAAGCAACCCGGGCGAGGTCATACAGCTACCGCCCATCCCAGAAAGCCATGCTCTGGGAGGGTCTGGTCAAGTGTCTTGGACTAAATGTTGCTAAATTGTGGCCATGCTCTGCTGGACCTGGGATGGGTGCCCAGCACCAGCGGCAGGTTGTGAGGACATCCCAGGGGTCAAGTGACTTGGGAGAGGCTTTTCACAATGGAGAGGTGGAGCTGGTATGTCGACTTCAGAGCAGCTTTTGGCACAAGCAGTTTCTGTACTTTGCTTTTTACCTAGGCAATTTCTTCCTGTTTCCTTTCCTTTCCTTTGCCTTTTTTTTTTTTTTTTTTTTTGAGACAAGGGTCTCACTGTCACCTAGGCCGGAGTGCAATGGCACCATTATGACTCACTGCAGCCTTCACCTCCCAGGCTCAAGAGATCCTCCCACCCCAGCCTCCTGAGTAGCTGGGACTGTAAGTGTAAGCCACTGTGCCTGGCTCAGGAAATCTTTTCTAAGGGTCCGCTACATGCCCGGCTCAGCGAGGCTGCAGTGAGCAGGAGCAGAGTGTTCCTCTCTCGGTGGGGCCTCCAGCATCACAACTCCTGGGGCTGCTGCTCACAGTGAGGGAAACGGCGCCCCCTGGAGTTGGGCAAAGAGTAGCCTCAGTTCTGGGAAGAGATAAAACATGTGAACAGGTACATAAGCGGTGAGACATTCTCTAGATGTAACGAAGGAAATGCACAGGCCGTGGAAGAGACCCATGGTGGCAGCTGCTCCAGAGGGGGAGTCTAGGAAGCAGCTCTTCCAGGGTGAGGGAACAGCTGGAGGGAGATCGAGTCGTCAGATGGAAAATGTGCTAAGTTCGGTGAAACAGCCTGGCTTCCTGATACTGCCAGCTGCGTGATCTGGGACAGTCCCCTCTCCCTTTTTAGACTCCCCCAGTTTGCTCAGATGACAAACAAGGTCTTGGGATTTTTGCGGATCGGGTCAGGCAAGGTGGGCATGTGCCTTCCCTTTTTAAAGTGCCGAGTAAGGCAGGGGTCAGAAATCCAGCACCTGGTGACAGGGTGGGGCGTGTTGTGGATGTCACCCTGCCGGCTCGGATGGAGGCTGTGGGATGTGTAGGGACTTTGGAGCTGGAGCCAGCCCTCCCTGGCAGGCCTCTGGGCCAGTGCTCATCAGGTGGGAATTCTGTCTCTTGCGGTTAGAATTTCCACTTGTTTAGCCTGCAGTTGATGTGCTGAGTTACATTTTTAGGTGTCATGAGTCCTGAAGTGACAGCACCCGCTGAGGGTCTAAGGAGCTGCACCTGTCGGCTGTTTTGGCCTTGGGCTGCCAGTTTTTATGAGTCTTTGTGACCATCCATGAACCCTTACATTGCCTCCCTGCAAACCCATCATGGAGAAGGGGAGTCAAGGACCCCTGGCCCAGGCTTCTTAGAAGTGCCCCACACAGATGGCTGATGTAGGGAGCCCCAGGCGCTGAAGTGGGCTAATCTGGAATGAGCCTGGGGAATCCGATTAGGACCAGGTCACAGGAAACGGTGAATGCAGGACGCTGACCAGGCACCCCTGTGTGGGTGGGTGAGGGAACAGGTGAGAGGGAGGGCTGAGAACGGGGTGATCCTGGGTCTGGGGAAGTGGGCAGGTGGCTGGAACGCTGTGTGCAGACCACCCCTCTGCAGCAGTTCTGGCCTTTTGGGACCCAGCGTTCACCTAGAAAGACAGTACTGGGCTGGGCGTGGTGGCTCCTGCCTGTAATCCTAGCACTTTGGGAGGCTGAGGCGGGTGGATCCTGTGAGGTCAGGAGTTGGAGACCATCCTGGTCAACATGGTGGAACCCCGTCTCTACTAAAAATACAAAAAATTAGCTGGGCATGGTGGTGCACACCTGTAGTCCCAGCTACTCAGGAGGCTGAGGCAGGAGAATTGCCTGAACCCAGGAGGCGGAGGTTGCAGTGACCAGCTTGGCCAACATAGTGAAACCCCCATGTCTACTGAAAACACAAAAATTAGTTGGGTGTGGTGGTAGGTGCCTGTAATCCCAGCTACTCAGAGGCTGAGGCAGGAGAATCCCTTGAACCCTGGAGGTGGAGGTTGCAGTGAGCTGAGATTGGGCCAGTGCACTCCAGCCTGGACAACAGAGTGAGACTTTGTCTCCAAAAAAAAAAAAAAAAAAAAAAGACAGTACCCAAACTACCTACCCAGTGCCTCAAGGACAATGTAGGTTCCTCCCAAATGCTTCCTCTCTAGTTCCCAGTTCCAGAGCACCTGAGCGCCTACTGTTCTGGAGCCAGGCAGAGGACTGGGACAACCTCCCTCCCCCGCCCCCATCATCCAGAATCCAGAGCTTAAACAACTGAGACGTGGCTGCACATGGTCGCTCATGCCTGTAATCCCAGTACTTTGGGAGGCTAGGGCATGCAGATCACAAGGTCTGGAGTTCGAGACCATCCTGGCCAATGTGGTGAAACTCTGTCTCTAATAGAAATACAAAAATTAGCTGGGCATGGTAGTGGGTGCCTGTAGTCCCAGCTACTCAGGAGGCTGAGGCAGGAGAATCGCTTGAATCTGGGAGGCAGAGGTTGCAGTAAGCCGAGATTGCACCACTGCACTCCAGCCTGCACTGCAGTGAGACAGAGCCAGACTGTCTCAAAAAACAAACAAAAAAGCCGAGCTGCATTACCTCACAGTTCGGAGGCCAGGGTCCAGGGTCCAGGCTGTGAGGGAGAATCTGTTTCTGCCTCCCTGGCCGGTGGGAGCCGCAGGTGCCCGTTGGCTTGTCTGTGAGGTTCTCCTGGTGGGTTACAGAGTGCATGAGGAGGGGAGGGCTCGTGGAGGATGCAGAGTGTGGGGGGGCAGAGCATGCCCGAGAGGCTGCAGTTCCAGGTCCTCTTTTTGAATGGGAGGGTCTGGGTGGGCCTCATGAGAAGGTGACTTTCCAGCAAAGCAGTGCAGTGCAGGCGCTGGAGCTGCTCACAGACTCCAGGAGGAGAAAGGAGCTTCCAGGACAGGCCTGGAGGTGTGAGCAGGATGGGGAGAGAGCGGAGGAGACAAGGTTCAAGCCCCACAGTACTGGCTTTCTGGAAACAGTCTCCAGGTGTTCTACATGAAGGAGGGAGGATCCCGCTCTGCCTGGAGCTCCCTAAGGACAGAGGGACAGTCTTTGCCAGCATCTGGCCCCTGGCCAAGCATATTCACCCACACCTGTAATCCCAGCACTTTGGGAGGCCAGGTGGGAGGATCACTTGAGGCCAGGAGTTCAAGACCAGCCTGGGCAATATAGGGAGATGCCCCCCATCTGTACAAAAAATTCAAAAATAAATGCCGTGGTGGCACATCTGTGGTCCCAGCTCCTTGGGAGGCTGAAGTGGGAGGCTCACTTGAGCCCAGGAGTCAGAGCTGCAGTGAGCCATGATTGTGCCATTGTACTCTAGCAAGACCCTTTTTCCTTTTTTATTTTAATTTTGAGACGGGGTCTTGCTCTGTCACCCAGGCTAGAATGCAGTGGCATGATCATGGCTCACTGCAGCCTCGGCCTTGTGGGCTCAGGCAATCCTCCTCCCTCAGCTTCTTGAGTAGGTGTGCACCACCATACCTGGCTAATTTTCGTCGTTTTTGGTAGAGACGGGGTTTCGCTATATTGCCTAGGCTGGTCTCGAACTCCTGAACTCAAGCAATCCTCCTGCCTTGGCCTCCCAAAGTGCTGGGATTACAGGTATGAGCCACTGTGCCCAGCCGACCCTGTCTTCAAAACAAAATTATCTGGCCCCTGAAGCCCCCTGCTGGGGGGGATGCACAATTCTTCGTCATAAGCTGGGCTGGATTCAGGCTGCAGGTAGGATTTAACTTGCGCAGTTTAAACAAAAACATTTGGCATGGGGAATTTTGAATAAATTGCCCCTATTTTATTTTTTATTTTACTCTTTTTATATTTTGGAGGAAGGGCAGAAGGGCTTTTATTTGAAATAGAAAGATTTGATGCAAAAATACAGATTTCCAGTTCCTTTTCTTTTTTTTTTTAATTTGAGACAGAGTCTCGCTCTGTTGCCCAGGCTGGAGCGTAGTGGTGCGATCTCAGCTCACTGCAACCTCTGCCTCCTGAGTTCAAGCAATTTGCCTGCCTCATTGTCCTGAATTGCTGGGACTACAGGTGCATGCCTCCACGACAGGGTTTCACCTGTTAGCCAGGATGGTCTCGACCTCCTGGTCCACCCACCTCTGCCTCCCAAAGTGCTGGAATTACAGGCGTGAGCCACCATGCCCAGCCTCCGGTTTCTTCAATCTGGCAATACATTCTGTATTCCCTATGGGCAACAGCTGACCACACAGAGACTCCACTGCCTGTGCGATGGGCACTGTGCCCAGTCTGGCAGGCCTCTGCTGGCATCTGAGTCTGTGACCTTGGGAGGACCCAGCGGGAGGGAAGGGAGTAAAAGGTTTTCTGAGTTCCCTGGGCCTGCCCTGTGGTTCCTTAGAAAGTCCAGGGCACCAGGCTGGATGTGCTAACACTCCTCAGGCCTGTGGGTGGCAGCAGCAAGGACCCTGTCTGCTCAGAGCCCATGACATTGTCACCCACAGAAGGGCCAGGAGTCGACCCATATCACCCAAAGGCTGCAGTGAAGGCCCTTGGGGCTCAGTCTGTTTGTAGATGAAGAAGCTGAGACCAGAGAGGATCTAGGGCCTCCCTTCTGCCTTCTGTGCGTATCTGCGGCTGATGGTGATATCATCCATCCTGACCCCCCTGCAGGGCCGGGGGCAGTGGCTCACACCTGTAATCCCAGCACTTTGGGAGGCTGAGGCAAGCGAATCACCTCAGGTCGGGAATTCGAGACCAGCCTGACAAACATGGAGAAACCCCATCTCTACTAAAAATACAAAAATAAGCTGGGCATGGTGGTGTGAGCCTATAGTCCCAGCTACTTGAGAGGCTGACACAGGAGAATCACTTGAACCCAGGAGGTGGAGGTTGCAGTGAGCCAAGATCGCTCCACTGCACTCCAGCCTGGGTGACAGGCAAAACTCCGTCTCAAAAAAAAAAAAAAAAATTGGTATAGTGGCATATGCCTGTAGTCCTGGCTACTGGAGGCTGACGTGGGAGGATCCCTTGAGCCCAAGAGTTCACAGCTTCAGTGAGTTATGATCGTGCCAGTGTACTTCCGCCTCGGCTACAGAGTAAGACCCTGTCTCTTAAATGAGGTGCCACTGCACCAGCCTGGGCGACTAGAGAAAACTGTCTCAAAAAAAAGATTATAATAGAGCCGCCCTATACAGGTGTACCTTTTAAAAATCTTTTATATTTGGCCAGGCACAGTGGCTCACGCCTATAATCCCAGCACTTTGGGAGGCCGAGGTGGGTGGATCACGAGGTCAAGAGATCGAGACCATCCTGGTCAACATGGTGAAACTCTGTCTCTACTAAAAATACAAAAATTAGCTGGGCATGGTGGTGCGTGCCTGTAGTCCTAGCTACTTGGGAGGCTGAGGCAGGAGAATTGCTTGAACCCAGGAGGCAGAGGTTGCGGTGAGCCGAGATTGTGCCATTGCACTCCAATCTGCCTAACAACGGCGAAACTCCGTCTCAAGAAAAAAAAAAGTATCTTTTCTATGTTTAGAGATACAAATTGTGTTATATCGGCACCACAGGAAAGGTTAAAGGTTAAATTGTGTTACAGCTGCCTACAGTATTCAGGAGAGTAACATGCCGTTGAGGTTTATAACCTAGGAGCAACAGGCTATCCCATATAGCCTGAGTGTGTAGGAGGCTAGACCCTCTAGGTACCGGCTCCAGGTCTGGAGGAGTAGAGGGCAGTGAGCCCTGCTGGGGGCCTGGGCCAAACGGTCACCCCTTGTCCCGCCCTCGCAAGGAGGGCCCGTCATCTGTGTACGCGATACCGCGGTGAGAGCCGAGGAAGGCGGGGGCCTCTGCTAGGTTTCACTAGACTGAGATGATCTAAGAGTTCAGCAACCAGAAACTCTTCCGGTTACACGGTCCTGCTAAGTATTCTGAGTCGAAAATGCCTAAGAACCTCTGTCTACACTTCCCATCTAACTGTCTCATCTAAAAGCTCTAAAATTCCTAATTAGAGGGGAAAACATTATAATTACAGAAAATAGTTTTTCTTAATGTTCCATAGTTGGTTTCCCCCAGAGCCACATCTATGTTCAAACAGTGGTTTTCCAGCAGGGAAGCCTCATGTCTCCCTCCCTCCCTCCCGGCCCGCACCTCCTCCCTGAACGTCCGAATGGGGTTGATAGTTTGCAGAGGGGCCAGGCAGAGGCACCAACCTAGCTGTCCTTTCAGGGCTTTAATTTTTTTTTTTTTTTTTTTTTTGAGAAAGTGTCATTCTGTCACCCAGGCTGGAGTGCAGTGGCTCAATCTTGTCTCACTGCAACCTCTGCTTCCCAGGTTCCAGCGATTCTCCCTACCTTAGCCAAAATCAGAAATCATCTATAAGGCAAAAGAAAGATGATGCCTAATAGGCACCTTCTAGTGTGGCCCTGCCTCAGCCTGGTGGATGACTATGGAAATCAAAACAGTTCAGTGGTCAGGATATAGGCAAAGTCATAGGGGAGTTACTGAGAGACAGAGAGGAATAGGGAGGAGGTGATCATAATTAGCACCCCTGTTCACTCCGAGGAAAACGCAGTCTCCTAGTGTGGGGGTAAGGGTGAAGACTCAGGATCCCTCTAACTCCTTCAATATCGGGTTCTCCCTAAGAGATCTGCAACATTACGACCCATCTGGACATCTTCAACTTATTGGGGAGACGCTGGCCTGGGGAGGATGAGGCCCCAGGTACCGGTTTGGGGAGCCTTCTGTCCAATTAGAGGAAGCAGCATGACCAGATTGAGAAAGCTGAAATCTAGGTTTTAGGACAGGCGAACCAACCTGCTCTCGTTCAAGCTCCCGGCCATTTCTTGGGGCGGAGAGCTAGCAGGGTCCGCAGCCGAGAAAAGCGGGAAGGCCCAATGGGTAGGAAGCCGCCCCAGCTGCCCCCACCTCGCCCCTGAGGTACCTGTAACTGGTCTCCGCTGCCCTTGCGGAGGGCGCCCACGATCTCCTGCACTCGCCCGGGCTGCCGCATCAGGACCGTGGCCTTCATCAGGGCGCTCACCTGTCCCGAGACCCGAGAGAACCACTGACCCCCGCACTGCGATGGGCCCGAGGGGAGCCCGGGGCTCACTCAGGCGTACGAGTTAGGCTGGACCGGGGTACGTGCAGCAGCCGCTACTGGCCTGGGTGGAGCAGCGGTACCTCGGCTACCCGCTGGAGGAGCTCTGAGTGCCCCGGGAGTCGGAGTCGGAGTCGGGGTCCGCCCCACGCCGGACGCTTCCTCCCAGCTCACCTCCTCCGCCATCCCGTTCCAGGTCCGCTCGGCTGCGCTGGGGACGACAGCAGCGCGGCCGCACTGCGCAGGCGTCGTTTCCCGCTAAGAACCTGGGCGGGGGCGGGGGGCCGGAGGCGGGGCAGGGCAGGGGAACCGGGGGTGGGGCGGGGGGGGCCGGAGGCGGGGCAGGGGACCGGGGCGGGGCGGGGGCTGGGGGTGGCCGGAGGCGGGGCGGGGGCGGGGGACCGGGGGTGGGGTGGGGAGGGCGGCCTAGAATTGAGGGGTACCGGAGCTAGCCGCGGTCTGGGTGTGCTTGCCTGGTGCGCTAGGCAAACTGGCGGAGGGTTCTATTTACTGTGAAGAGAAGGGTGGAGGTCTCAAGGTGTTAGGGTTACGTGGGTGGGTAGGGTTCTGCCACTCTTTGTGGAGAAAAATCCTTGCCAAGCGTGGTCATTTCCAGGCTGAAAGTTTGTGTGGCAAAAACATGTCTGGGGCCAGGCATGGTGGCTCACTCCTGTAATCCCAGAACTTTGGGAGGCCGAGGCAGGAGAATCGCTTGAGCCAAAGAGTTCGAGACCAGCCTGGGCAACATGGCAAAACCCCGTCTCTACAAAAAATATAAAAATTAGCGGGGCGTAGTGATGAGCGCCTGTAGTCCCAGCTACGCGGGAGGCTGAGGCGGAAGGATCACTTGAGACCGGGTGGTCCAGGCTGCAGTGACCTGAGATTGCACCACTATACTCCAGCCTGGGTGACAGATCACACCCTGTCTCAGAAACAAAAACAGAAAAACACACGGCGGGATGGGAGGAGAGATGAAGGAGCCATAAACCGAATTCTGTTAATCACCCAAAAGGTGCTCTGTCAACTAGGCCATTCCTCATTCCAGAAGAAACTGAGTGACTAACCCATCTAGGGGCTGGGAGACCCGGGACAGCGTTCTGAAATGTAATCATCGTTGCCTGGGCAAGGTAGCAAGTACCTGTAATCCCAGCTACTTGGGAGGCTGAGGTGGGAGGATCACTTGAGCCCAGGAGGTCAAGGCTGCAGTGAGCTATGATCACACCATTGCACTCCAGCCTGGGTGACAGAGAGACTCGTCTCTTAAAAAAAAAAAAAAGAAATTCGCCAGGCGGGGTGGATCACACCTATAATCTCAGCACTTTGGGAGACTGAGGCTGGTGGATCATGTGCAGTCATCAGGAGTTCAAGACCAGCCTGACCAACATGATGAAACCCCATCTCTACTAAAATACAAAAATTAGCTGGGCATGGTGGCTCATGTCTGTAATCTCAGCTACTTGGGAGACTGAGGCTTGAACCTGGGAGATGGAAGTTGCAGTGAGCCAAGATCACGCCATTGCACTCCAGCCTGGGCAACAGAGAGAAACTGTCAAGAAAAGAAAGAAAGAGAGAAAGGAAGGAAGGAGAAAGAAGGAAAGAAAGAAAGAAAGAAAGAAAAAGAAAGAAATTTAATCAGTTTTACTTTTCCTTTCAGCCTCAAGTGACTTGGATTTCCTTGAGTTCGGTGTCTAGGGAGCCAAGTGTTGGGTGGCGAAAGGTAGATGGATGCTCCAGGGATAGAGACCTGTATCAGGTGAGTAACAGGAGCAGGAACCAATAAACACTCAGATGGTGCTAGTGGTCTTGGTTCTGTTCTGGGTTTGAGGACACAGAAGGAGGTGTGAGGTGGTTTTCAGCCTAAGTGGGGTGGGGGGAGGGGAGAAGGAAGTGGACAAGGCCAGGAGGCAGTTCCAGAACCTGAGAGCACAATCCTGCATGATCTCACTACAGGCCCAGGATTCTGGAACTCGGTCTGCCTGATAGGCCCTATAGATGTAGTAGGGGAAAGGAGTGACAGCTGGCTAAAGGGGCCCCCCACAACCCTCCCCAACACTCTAGGAGAGCAATCTCTCTCCGATGGTCCCGGGGTGCCATGGAGATGGAGAGCATGGCGGCCTCCACACGTTTCCACCAGCCTCACATGGAGAGGAAGATGAGTGCGATGACCTGTGAGATCTTCAACGAGCTTAGGCTAGAGGGCAAGCTCTGCGACGTGGTCATCAAGGTCAATGGCTTTGAGTTCAATGCCCACAAGAACATCCTCTGTAGCTGCAGTTCCTACTTTAGGTATAACAGGGTTGCCAAACTAAGCCAAGGGGTAATTGGGCTCGTTTTGAGACACTTTGATCCATTTTCTCTTTCCCACCCCACCATCTTCACTGTAGGGACACAGTCAAGGCTCTGGACTCCTTGAAAAAAATTTTTTAAGCCTGGCACAGTGGCTCACGCCTATAATCCCCAGTACTTTGGGAGGTTGAGGCGGGCAGATTATGAGGTCAGGAGTTTGAGACCAGCCTGACCAACATGGTGGAACCTCATCTCTACTAAAAATACAAAAACTAGCCAGGCATGGTGGTGCGCACCTGTAATCCCAGCTACTCAGGAGCCCGAGGCAGGAGAATTGCTTGAACCTGGGAGGCAAAGGCTGCAGTAAGCCGAGATCGTGCCACTACACTCCAGCCTGGGTGGCAAAGCACGACTTCATCTCAAAAAAGATTTTTGTTTGTTTGTTTTATGTTTTTTTAGAGATAAGATCTCACTCTCTTGACCAGGCTGGAGTGTAGTGATGAATCATAGGTCACTGCAGCTTTGAACTGCTGGGCTCAAACAATCCACATACCCCAGCCTCCCAAGTAGCTAGGTCTACAGGCTCATCCCATTACATCATGCTACTTTTTAAATGTTTTGTAGAGATGGAGGCTCACTATGTTGCCCAGGCTGGTCCTGAAGTCCTGGCCTGAAGCAATCCTCCTGCCTCAGTGTCCCAAAGTGCTGGGATTACAGGTGTGAGCCACTGTGCCTGGCCAACTCTGTGGTCCTTCAGCCTGCCTGGCATGTGGTCCTTTGCCTTCTGAAGAGGCATGACTAGGGTCAGGGCTTTTTTCGTTGATTTTTCTGTCTGTTTTGTTTTGTTTTCCCTTTTCTTTTGCTATTGAGAGATCTAATTTTTTTTTTTTTTTTTTTTTTTTTTTTTTGAGATGAGTCTCACTCTGTCACCCAGGCTGGAGTGCAATGGTGCAATTTTGGCTCACTGCAACCTCCGCCTCCCAGGTTCAATCGATTCTACCACCTCAGCTGGGATTACAAGTGCCCACCACCATGCCTGGGTAATTTTTGTATTTTTAGTAGAGATAGCGTTTTGCCATGTTGCTCAGGCTGGTCTCAAACTCCTGACCTCAGGTGATCTGCCTGCCTTTACCTCCCAAAGTGCTGGGATTACAGGCATTAGCCACCGCACCTGGCAAGATCTGATTTTTCTTTTTCTTTCTTTTTTTTTTTTTTTGAGACGGAGTTTCACTCTTGTTACCCGGGCTGGAGTGCAATGGCGCCATCTCGGCTCACCGCAACCTCCGCCTCCTGGGTTCAGGCAATTCTTCTGCCTCAGCCTCCTGAGTAGTTGGGATTACAGGCACGCGCCACCATGCCCAGCTAATTTTTTGTATTTTTAGTAGAGCTGGGGTTTCACCATGTTGACCAGGATGGTCTCGATCTCTTGACCTCGTGATCCACCTGCCTCGGCCTCCCAAAGTGCTGGGATTACAGGCTTGAGCTACCGCACCCGGCCCTTTTTTCTTTTTTTAATTTTGTCTTAAGGCTATACCTGAAGGATCTGATTTTTCAACTGGATTTCAACCAACTATTGGTGGCCCAGGTGCTTTCATCTTTGATTCTCACCTAAACCAACCTTTGGGAAGGTTGCACATCCTTACTGGATTTCAGATGACAATGCTACTTCAGGGACCCCTGTACCTCTATCCCAGTAGAGACCATTTCAAACAGGGTGATAAATTAACAAGGATTGAGGGGATGGGAAGGGGGACAAGGGAGAAATATCCAAGAAATATTTATCAGAAGAAAAAAGGAGTTTGGGCTAAAACCATTGTAACCCAGAAGGTAGAAGGGCTATTTTGTTCATGAGCTGAAAATGTTTGAGTAATCAATTCCAATGAAGGTATATGATCATGCGTCCTACCTGTTGCTAAAACCTCTCACTCATGTAAACCTTAGAGCAGATACCACAACTTATTTATTTATTTTTATTTATTTATTTTTGAGATGGAGTCTTGCTCTGTCACCCAGGTTGGAGTGCAGTGGCACAATCTTGGTTCACTGCAACCTCCACCTCCCAGGTTCAAACTGTTCTCCTGCCTCAGCCTCCCAAGTATCTGGGATTACACCAGTGTGCCACCACATCCAACTAATTTTTTTTCTTTCTTTTTGTCTTTTTTATTTTTTTGAGATGGAGTCTCACTCTGTCACCAGGCTGGAGTGCAGTGACACAATCTCGGCTCACTGCAACCTCTTCCTCCCAGGTTCAAGCGATTCTCTTGCCTCAGCCTCCCTAGTAGCTGGGACTACAGGCTCGAGCCACCACACCAGGCTAATTTTTGTATTTTTAGTAGAGACTGAGTTTCACCATGTTGGCCAGGATGGTCTTGATCTCTTGACCTCGTGATCCACCTACCTCGGCCTCCCAAAGTGCTGGAATTAAAGGCATGAGCCACTGTGCCCAGCCCACTTAATAATTATTTATCAAGGCTGGGCATGGTGGTCCACACCTGTAATCCCAACACTTTGGGAGGCCAAGATGGGAGGACTGCTTAAGGTCAGGAGTTTGAGACCAGCCTGGTCAACATAATGAGACCCTCATCTCTATTATTATTATTTTTTTTTCTTTTTGAGATGGAGTTTCACTCTTGTTACCCAGGCTGGAGTGCAATGGCACAATCTTGGCTCACCGCAACCTCCGCCTCCTCGGTTCAAGCAATTCTCCTGCCTCAGCTTCCCAAGTAGCTGGGACTACAGGTGTATGCCACCATGCCCAGCTAATTTTTGTATTTTTAGTAGAGACGGGGTTTCACCATGTTGACCAGGATGGTCTCGATCTCTTGACCTCGTGGTCTACCCACCTCGGCCTCCCAAAGTGCTGGGATTATAGGCGTGAGCCACCGCGCCTGGCCCCTCTATTATTAATTAAAAGAAAATTACTGGTTGCCTATTTTGTTACAGGCACTCATCTGGATACTGAAAAAACAATTGGCCAGG